ACCGACCACGGGCACAGGGGACACTGAGGCACGGGCACAGGGACACCGACCACGGGGACAGGGGACACTGACCATGGGCACAGGGACACCGACCACGGGCACAGGGGACACTGAGGCATGGGCATAGGGGACACCGACCACGGGGACAGGGGAGCTGGCAGAGCCCAGACCTCGCTGAGGCGCTGGACGAGGCGCGAGGGAGCGGTGCGGGGGAAGCTGAGCAGGAAGGATTGCTGCCGGAGCGGGCGCAGCGCGGGCACGAACCTGGGGAGGGAAACACAGGGGCTGAGAGAGAGCCCAGCATGGAATTCCCTTCCTAATCCTGCAGTTATTTCGGTTGGGAAAGGCCTCCCAGGGTGTGGAGTCCAACTGTTCCCCAAGCACGCCTGGTCACCATGAAATGATGTCCCCAAGTGCCACATCCACACAGCTCTGAAATCCTCTCAGGGATGGGCACTCCACCACTGCCTTGAGCAGCCTGGAGCAACCAATGGCTGCCCTTTCCATGAAGGAATTTTCCCAAATATCCAATCTAAACTTTCCCTGGCCCGGCCTGAGGCCATTCCCACTCCTCCTGTTCCCTGGAGCAGAGCCTGACTCCCCGGCTGTCCCCTCCTGCAGAAGCTGTACAGAGCCACAAGGTCCCCCCGATCCCCCTTTTCTCCAGGCTCAGCCCCTTTGCAGCTCCCTCAGGAATTCCCCAGCCCCTTCCCAGCTCCCTCAGGAACTCTCCATCCCCTTCCCAGCTCCCTCAGGGATTCTCCAGCCCCTTCCCAGCTCCCTCAGGAACTCTCCAGCCCCTTCCCAGCTCCCTCAGGGATTCTCCAGCCCCTTCCCAGCTCCCTCAGGAGTTCCACAGCCCTTTCCCAGCTCCCTCAGGAGTTCTCCAGCCCCTTCCCAGCTCCCTCAGGAGTTCCACAGCCCCTTCCCAGCTCCCTCAGGGATTCTCCAGCCCCTTCCCAGCTCCCTCAGGGATTCTCCAGCCCTTTCCCAGCTCCCTCAGGAATTCTCCAGCCCCTTCCCAGCTCCCTCAGGGATTCTCCAGCCCCTTCCCAGCTCCCTCAGGGATTCTCCAGCCCCTTCCCAGCTCCATTCCTATCCCTGCACACTCTCAAACCAACGCCGAAACCAACCCCAGGCCTTGAAGAGCTGCACTCAGAGACACCCCCAGCAGCCACCTCCTGTCTGGGTGCAGGGTTTGGCATCCCTGTCCCCTCCCCACGGGCAGGGGACACTCACTGGTCATTGCAGATGCAGATGATGGGCCGGAGCAGGAGCCCTCCCTCGCGCCGCCGCCGCCCCGCGCCCGCCTCGGCCTCGCCGTCCTTCCGCTGGATGATGGCCAGCAGGACATTGATGGAGGCCTGGGGGAACAGGGATGGAGGGATGGCTCTTGCTCAAAACAAGGGTGGAGGGATGGGTTCTTGCTGGAAACAAGGATGGGAGGGACGGATTCTTGCTGGAAACAAGGATGGAGGGATGGATTCTTGCTGGAAACAAGGATGGAGGGACGGATTCTTGCTGGAAACAAGGATGGAGGGATGGATTTTTGCTGGAAACAAGGATGGAGGGATGGATTCTTGCTCGTGGAAGGGTGGAGGAGCTGCTGATGGGGCCATGTTTGAGGGGCTCACCGCGGGCGCGCCGTCGATCTCGTCGATGATGAGGCAGTTGGGCCTCTCGTGGGAGCCCAGCACCGACCTCATCTGGGTGGCAGCTTCAATGCGGGTCTGGAACACCTCGGGGCTGCGGTCATCGCTGCGAGGGGACACGGGGACGGCTGACCTCAGGGGTGGGGACACTGCCAGCACCACCCCTGGGACAGCAGCACCCCTGGGACAGCATCATCTCCACACCACCATCACCTCCACCATCACCCCTGGGACAGCATCACCTCCAAAACACCTTCACCTCTGGGAGACCATCATTCCCAGGACACCATCACCTCCACCTCCAGAACAGCATCACTCCCAGGCCACCATCATCCCCAGCATCACCTCTGCCACAGTATCACCTGCCCTTTTGTGGGCAGGGCATGGGCTCACCTGGCACTCAGGGGCTCTCACCTGGCACCCAGAGGCTCACCTGGCACCCAGAGGCTCTCACCCGGCACCCAGGGGCTCTCACCCGGCACCCAGGGCTCTCACCTGGCACCCAGGGGCTCACCTGGCATTCATCTCCACGGCGTTGTACCCCGCATGCCTGGCGATGACGTGGGCCAGCGTGGTCTTGCCCAGGCCAGGGGGCCCACAGAGCAGGGCCACCTGTGGCACAGAAAGGAGGTCACCCCTGGAGGGGACCTCCTTGGAGGGGACAACGCTGCTCCTCAGCTGGTGGCAGCAGAGGCACCCACAGCCACGTCCCCACCTGCTCACCTTGTGTTTGGGTCTCTTGTGCTGGTCCAGCTCGGCCTCCAGCATCTCCTCGGTGAGCTGGACCTTGCTTTTCCACTTGTTGGGATGTTCCTTGGGATGGCTGAGCTGGGGATGAGCTGCAGGGCTGGGTTTGGGTTTCTTGCCAGCCTTGTCCTTGCCGAACACCACTGTGTCCCACAGCTTCAGCCACTTCAGCAGGCAGCGGTTGGTGTACTGCAGGAAAGCAGGAAAACCCATGGAACCCATGGAAAATCCAGCCTGGGGCAGAGGAAGGCTCTGCTTCATGGAGGAGCTGCTCAGGGCTCCACCTGGCAGCTCCCTGGGGCAAGGTGGGAACGTTTCCCTTCCCAAGGAAACCCTGGGTAAGTCACATCAGCCCCATCCCTGCTGGCCCTGCTCTCTCTTGGCTCAACTCAGCAATTCCCAGCCTCTCCAATTCCTTACAAAACTTCTAACATTCCCAAAAAAAATCCAAAATAGCCAACAATTTCTGGTTAAATTCCTCCCTATCTTTTTTGTCTCATTTTGGTCACATTCCATAGTTTTTTCTGCCTAACATCCCCAGCCTGCAGTGCAAACCTGCCACCCCAAGCTCCCAGGGACTCACAGGCAGAGCAGCACAGACACAGTGCTTCCCCAGCCAGTGCTTCCAAAGGCAATTCCTGATCCCACAGCACTAGGGAAGAGCTGCAGAGGTGCTGACCCCACCCATCCCAAGCCCCCCTTTGTCCCAGCACCTCACATCATCACTGAGTAGCTCCATATAGCGCTGGGGGGTGAACTTGTCCACCCAGAGGCAGTGGGGTGCAGACTCCTCCTGGGCTGTTGGAGCCGTGTCCATGCTGGGATCCGGGCTCTTGGTGCTGGCCTCGCTCCCCAGGCAGCTGCAGCATTAATTCATTCACCCCAAAGCACCCCAGGAGTCAGGGCAGGGTGGGAATTCCACCCAGACTCCCCAAGCAGGGGGGGGGATGAGGGCAAAAAGGCTCCTCTGCTTGCAAGTGCTCCAAAATTTGATCCTGCAGGAGCAGCTGGGAGGCAAATCCAGCAGTGTGGCAGGGACTGGGGAGGGATTGAGGGATTTCACCCCAACATCTCACCTGTTTATGATTTCTGTCAGCTGCTGGGAGGCCTCCAGAACCTGCCTGCGCCGCTTGAGCAAAACACAGAGGGGTCAGAGACACCCCCCAGTCCATGGCTGGGGGGCAGGGATTTGGGAGCCAGCAGGGGTGGCAGGGACAGAGGGGAAGGTCAGGGACATGTGGTACCTCCTGATCCACCTGCTCCTTCAGGTAGGAGAAGGGCACCCCCAGCAAGTGGAGTGGCCTGCGAGCGTTCCAGCCCAGGGAATCCGGGAGCTGCAAGGACACAGCACCACCAGCCCCCTCCTGAGCCACCTGGAGGCCACAGAGGAGCAACCCCGACCTTCAGATCCCTCCTCACCTCCAGCCCTGTCCCACAGGGATCATCCCTCAGCACCAGGAAGACCCTGGTGCCCATGGTGGATGTCACGTTGATGTAATCCTCCAGGATGGGGGCTCTCCTCAGGACCCTCTTCTTTTCCAAGGGTGGTGTGGTCTGCAGGGGGATCATTCCACTCACGTCCAGGCGGCTCGAGCTGGAAAACACCAAATTCCTTCACCAGGGGAAGGGCCCTTCCCCTCCCTTCTGTTAAAAATGGGGTTCAGGGTGGCCAACCTGGTATTGTGGGGAGCCAGAGGTGCCTCTGGGCCACCATCCCAGGAGACATCCGGAGCCAGCTCATCGTCTGCACCAAAATCGAGCTTCTTAACAGCTTCCAGGCGCTGCCGCTTCGGCCTCGGGGCTGGAGCAAGCGGAGAGCATCACCTCGGACCGTGGTACCCAGGGGATGCTCCGGCAGCCGGCACCGCGCGGGGCGGGCGGACAGCGGGCAGCAGCGCCCGGGCAACCGGGTCAAACCTACTGCGGGGCTCGGCTGCTGCCGGGGACACGGCGGGGACACAGTCCCGGTCCCTCTTCCTGGCGCCGGTACCCCCGGGAGAACCCCCGGCGAGGTCGGGCTCCTCCGGCGGCTGCCTCCTGCCGCGGAACTGCGATGTTTTGGGGCCGGCGGGTGGGGATGGCCCATCTGTGAGAGGGATCAGATCACGGTGCCGATCACCGGAGGGACCCGCGGCGGGACGGGCACACACGGGCGCGCAAAGCACGGTGCCGCCCGCTCCCTCCCTCCGCCGCCTCCGCAGCAGCGCCCACCTCCCAGCTCGGCCAGCACCTCCAGCTCGTCGGCGAAGCGCTCGTAGAAGCCATCCTCGGGCTCATCCTCGGGGCCATCCCCGGGGCCGGGCTCGGTGCCCGCCATGGGCCGCGCCGCCGCCACACCGGCCCCGCGCCCGCCGCGCTTCCGCCCGCGCGCCGCGGACCCGGCGCTGATTGGGCGCGGCGCTCGGGCGGGCGCAGCGGAGCCGGCGCTGATTGGGCACGGCGCGCGAGGGCTGCAGGCGGAGCCGGCGCTGATTGGGCACGGCACGCGGGCGGGCACGGCGGGACCGGCGCTGATTGGGCACGGCGTGCGGGAGGGCGCGGCGGGGCCGGCGCTGATTGGGCACGGCGCGCGCGGGCCGCAGGCGGGGCCGGCGCTGATTGGACGCGGTGTGAGCGCTGCCGGCGGGCGCTGCGGGAGCGCGGACGGGGGCGGTTCCCCCGGCCGGGGCTGGGTCCGGGTCCGGGTCCGGGTCCGGGTCCGGGTCCGGGTCCGGGTCCCGGTCCGAGTCCGGGTCCGCTCCGCCCTGCCCGGGTCCTCCCCGCCGTGCGAGTCCCCGCCCCGCGTCCCCTGTCCCCTCCCCTCCGTCCCGTGCCCTGCGGCGGAGCCGCCGCACTCGCGGCCGAGCTGCAGCGGGGCGAGGCCGGTGGCCGCCGCCGGGATGGGCAGAGGCGGCACGGCGCGGCTGCGGGGCCCCCACGCGTGACAGCGCGGCGGGGATGGGCCTCCCACGCGCGGCGGGACTGCGCCGTGACACGGGCGCGGCAGCGCTGCTGTAGCATCCGCACCGCTGCGGGACAGGCGGGGTGACAGCGGCGTGGCGCTGGTGGCTCGGCAGCACCGGTACATCTCCGTTCCCTGCTGCGGTATCCCACCTCCAGGCCCTGCTCCCTGCCCGCCCCGCGTGTCCCGGGCCGCTGTGCCCATCCCAGGGTGCCCATCCCGCAGCTGGACGTTCCTCATCCCGATCCGCCCCTCGCTCTCTCTGCCCCGCAGGGCCATGGAGCCGGGCACCATCGACAACCTGTCCATCCTGTACCAGAGCTCCGACTTCATCGTGGTCAACAAGCACTGGGACCTGCGCATCGACAGCAAGATGTGGTACGAGACGCTGACCCTGCAGAGTCAGCTCAAGCACCGCTTCCCCGAGCTGGCCGACCCCGACACCTACTACGGCTTCAGGTGAGCCCCTGGGCACCGAGCCCCACTCTGCCCTCAGCTGGGGACACTCCTGAGATGCCCAGGATGCTCCTTGAGCCCCGTGTCCTTCCCAGGTTCTGCCACCAGCTGGATTTCTCCACCAGCGGGGCCCTGTGTGTGGCACTCAACAAAGCGGCGGCGGGAAGTGCCTACAAGTGCTTCAAGGAGCGTCTGGTGACCAAAGCCTACCTGGCACTGGTGAGCCCTCCCTGCCCCTCCTGCCTTGGCCTTTTGGTGTTCCTCAACACCTCTGCCCTGAGGGAGAGCTGAGGGAGGTGGGGGTGTTCAGCTGGAGAAGAGAAAGATTCAGAGTTGGAGCCTAAAGGAGCTCAAAGAGAGCTGGAGAGGGATTTGGACAAGGGCATGGAGGGACAGGACACAGGGAATGGCTTCCCACTGCCAGAGGTTGCGGTTAGGTTGGGTATTAGGAAGGAATTCTGGCACGGGGTGCCCAGAGAAGCTGTGGCTGCCCCATCCCTGGAAGTGTCCAAGGCCACCGTGGATGGGGCTGGAAGGTGTCCCTGCCCCTGACAAGGAGTTGGGATTGGGGGAATGGATGGGCTTTAAGGTCCTTCCAACCCCACCCTTTCTGTGATTCCACCACGGGAGGTGGTGAGAAGCAGGTGCCAGGGCCCAGTTGGCACGTTCTCCCCCAGGTGAGGGGCCACGTCAGCCAGAGCCGGATGACGATCCGCTACGCCATCGGGAAGAACACCACGGAGGGCATGACCCACATGATGTGCATCGAGGGCACCGAGGGTGAGCACCCCTCCACTGCTCTGCCCACACCCCCAGTGATGTGCTGGGGCATCACAAACCCCCTCTGGATCTCCTTGCAGGCTGTGAGAATCCCAAGCCGTGCCAGTCAGAGCTGGTGGTGCTGGAACACGGATCCTACAGCGGAGACCCCGTCACCAAAGTGCTGCTGCAGCCACTGACAGGTGGGGACAGGGGCAGCTCTGAGTGGAGCACAGCCTGGAAAAGCATGAGGGAAGCTGAGAACTGCAGTGCTCAGCAGGGAAAAATGCCATTGGGTGTATTGTACCATGCCCTGAAGGAAGGATTCAGGAATTCCCTGTCCCTGATACCCCATGCCCTGAAGGAGGGATTCAGGAATTCCGTGTCCCTGATTCCCCAAGCCCTGAAGGAGGGATTCAGGAATTCCCTGTCCCTGATTCCCCAAGCCTTGAAGGAGAGATTCAGGAATTCCCTGCCCCTGAGAGAAGGAGAGATTCAGGAATTCCCTGTCCCTGATTCCCCAAGCCCTGAAGGAGAGATTCAGGAATTCCCTGCCCCTGAGAGAAGGAGAGATTCAGGAATTCCCTGTCCCTGATTCCCCAAGCCCTGAAGGAGAGATTCAGGAATTCCCTGCCCCTGATTCCCCAAGCCCTGAAGGAGAGATTCAGGAATTCCCTGTCCCTGATTCCCCATGCCCTGAAGGAGAGATTCAGGAATTCCCTGTCCCTGATGCCCTGAAGGATATTCAGAAATCCCCTATTCCTGATTTCCCAAGCCCTGAAGGAGAGATTCAGGAATTCCCTGTCCCTGAGGGAAGGAGAGATTCAGGAATTCCGTGTCCCTGATTCCCCATGCCCTGAAGGAAGGATTCAGGAATTCCGTGTCCCTGAGGGAAGGAGAGATTCAGGAATTCCCTGTCCCTGTTTCCCCATGTCCTGAAGGAGGGATTCAGGAATTCCCTATCCCTGATTCCCCATGCCCTGAAGGAAGGATTCAGGAATTCCCAGTCCCTGATACCTGCTCTGTCCCCAGGGAGGACTCACCAGCTCCGGGTTCACTGCAGCGCCATCGGCCACCCCATCGTGGGGGACTTCACCTACAGCCAGCGGCAGGACAGCAATCCCTACAGGATGATGCTCCACGCCTACTACCTGCGCATTCCCACCGGCTCGGAGCTGATCGAGGTGTGCGCGCCCGACCCCTTCCTCACCGCCATGGACAGCAACTGGGTGCCCCAGCAGGTCACCCGGCGGCTGGAGGATGTCATCCAGGAGCTGAAGGACAAGGGGACGCAGAAGGAGGAGGAGGAGGAGGAGGAGGAGAGGCGGGAAGCTGGCAGAGAGGAGGGAGCAGGGGGTGAAGGCAGGAGGGAGGAGACGGAGGAGCAGCGGGCGCGGTGCGAGCAGTGGTTGGCCGAGTGGGCTCTGGAGTGAGCACTGAGCACATCCCTGCTTTTCCTGCTCCAGCCTTGTCCCAGCGGGTCCCCACGGAGCCCAGCGCTGCCTCCACACCTGCACTCCCTCTATGGCTTCCCTCGCTCTCGGGGCTGGCACCAGGTGGATTTTAGGAGTGGTTGAGGTGGGGTTGTTTTGTAATGTCCATCATCCATCTGGCCACGGGATGTCCTTTTCCCAATCCTGGGCCTCAGCAGTGGAGTCGGTGTCACATTCCAGCTTAGAGTGACCCCAAAGCTTTCTGTCCCTGTCCTGGGGCTCGGGCACAGCCATGGACATTCCCACAACCTCTCCACGCTTGGATGCAGAATTGCAGCCCAGCACAGGGAGGGGAGAACGTGCTGGTGCAGCTCCAGTGTCCCTGTCCCCCATTCCCATTCCCTCACTCCAGCTGCTGCGTTGTGTGGGAAATGGGAGATTGAGGTCTGGAGCACATTCTGGGGGCACTGATAATCCCCCAGTCCTGGGGTGTCCTGTGAAACTGGACTGGGATGGGCATGGAAGGGTCCCTGCCCCTCGCCCCCTCCCTCCCTCAGCCCACCTGGGCGGTTTTTTAAGGTTTGGTGAAGGTGAAGAAGTTGATACCAATGGATTTTAAACTTTTTTTCAATTTTCTAGGAAGAGATTCTAGTCTTTTAGGGTTTGTAAAATACGGGTGGTCTCAGGAATGAGGTATTTTTAGTACTTCTGTGGTCAGAGAGCCAGCAGCCCAAAGCTTTTTTAAATGGATTTTATTATTTCTTCTACTAGCACTGCCTTTCCTGCTTTTGTCCCTGCTGAGACAGGTCAGAGGACACAAGTCCCTTTCTGCTCACCCACATGAGGAGGGATCAGTGTCCTGTGTAGGTCCCATGGGGTGGCTCCTGCCTGGCAGGTTTCCAGAGGGTCCTGCAGGCAGGTCCTTCAGCTGGGCAGTTTGGGAAAGCTCTGGAAGAGCAGGAAAAAGATAAAGGTGAAAGAAGGGCTGAGAACTGATGGAAAGAACAGGCAGGAGCTCACCTTTGACATATGCCAAGAAATTTCCTTGGAAGTGCCCTGGCTTTGCTGGTCATCCTGCTTCGCTTTCCCCTTCCCTGCTCATCCTCTGCAGCCCTTGGAGCACATTTGGAAATGAGAACAGGACAGCTGGGGAAGGACATTGGAGCCACACAGCCCCATCCCAGGGCTTTTCAAGGACCATGTCAGCACATGCCGAGAGTTGTCACCTCACCAGCCCCATCCCATTGAAAACACACCTGATGGGATTCACACAGTTGATATTCCCACCCCAAAGGAGAATTAAAACGTCACAGCCCTCTCCTCGTGGATAAACACACCCTGCAATCACCAAAAGGCTGGGAGGGGAAGAATTGGATCAACCTGTCCCATGTGTCCCTCTCTGGTGTGGCTTGGTGCCACTGCTGCAGGGTGGGGATGGCCTGAGGTGCCAGCCCTGGGCACCGAGCGGGCAGGATGGGCTCGGGGCTGGTGCCAGGGGCTGGGCAGCTGGGAAGGAACACAGGGAACCAGTTTGCCAAAGATTCGAGGGGTGACTTGTCCAGGAGGTGCTGGAAAGTGACAGCGGGCATTCACACATCACAGAGGGAACCCAGCCTTGTCCCTGCTGGGGACACGGCCGGGATGAGGGCTGGGGACATGGGGACACATGGATGGGGCTGGCACCACCCCGAGCCTGCTGTGTTTGTGTCAAACAGCCCCCACACCCTGCCCCAGCCTTTGCCTGCTGCTTTTCCCCAGTGCCACAGAAAAAAGGGAATTTCCCTTACCCTGCAGAAGGAGTTTTCCAGGGCAATGTCCCCATCCTGTCCCCATCCTGTCCCTCCTGCGGTGCCCTGGGGTTGTGCTGTGGCTCTGATGTCCCCTGCACTCCGCAGTTGCAGTTTTGGTGTTTTTGCTGTATTAAACGTGTCTCTGTCCTTCCCTGACCGCTCTCTGTGCATCCCACTCTCGGGGGGATCCAGGAATGAGGGGAACGAGGGGAATGAGGCTGGACCGGCCCCAGGGGAGCGGCCCCGGGGCTCCGACCTGTTTGAGTGTGAGAGGGTGAGTGTGAGGAGGTGGGTGTGAGAGGGCCAGGATTGGTGTGTAAAAGGCAGGATTGGTGTGTGAGGGGCAGGATTGGTGTGTAAGCTGTAGGATTCTTGTGTGAGGGAGGGTTGAGTGTGAGAGGATGGGTGTGTGTGAGGATGAGTGTGAGGGTGGTTGTGTAAGGGGCAGGATTGGTGTGTAAAAGGCAGGATTTGTGTGTGAGCTGTAGGATTGTGTGAGGGGCAGGATGGTTGTGTGAGCTGTGGGATTGTTGTGTGAGGGACAGGATTGATATGTGTGAGCTGCAGGATGGTTTTGTGAACTGCAGGATTGGTGTGTGAGGGAGAGGATTGTTGTGTGAGCTGTAGGATTGTGTGAGGAGCAGGATGGTTGTGTGAGCTGTAGGATTGTGAGAGGGGCAGGATTGTTGTATGAGCTGTAGGATTCTTGTGTGAGGGAGAGGATCATTGTCTGGGATGGGATCATTGTGTGAGGGACACTCATCCCTCGGGTTGGGGCAGAGGGAAAACCAACTGAAGACCCAAGGAATTATTGCAGCCTTTAAGACTGGGAGATTTTTTGAAGATTATGAACCAGATATGGGCAGAGGGTATCTGGTCAAGGGAGAGGAGCATTCGCAGCCCCCCTGGCACAGGGAAGTGCAGTCAGAGCTCACAGCTGACCTGGGAATGTCCCCAGGAATGGCCTGGGGCAGATGTTTCTCCACATGTTCAAGTTCAGGGTGGATCCTCCTGTGGCAGCTCCCGAGGGCGTTTCGGGGCCACCTTTGATCTCCACAGGGCACAGTGGATGGGGTGACGCCCAGAGTGGCCCTGATGTGTCCCTGCCCTCTGCTCCAGCCACCTCTGTCCAGCCAGCCTGGGGCAGGGGCCGTGTCCCTCCAGCAGCCTCATAGCAAACAAGTTTCTGTAATTTTACCGCCCCAACAGGAGCTATTTTTACAATAAATCCTTCCAAAATAGAAGCCAGCAACACCCATGGGCGTCAGCCCAGCCTGGGGCTGCAGGACTGGTTGGGGGACGTGGCTGGGGACAGGACATGGCAGGGCAGTGACAAACCCCTCTTGACAGCGTGCCAGCAGCTCCAGGGACCCTTGGCGAGGGCTGAGAGGGGGGTACAACCCTGTTCCCACCCAGCCACCCTTCCCTTTTCCTGGGATAAACACTCAGATAAAGTTTGTGCTCACAGCTCCTCCAGGTTGTCCTCTCAGAGCCTCGGGAAGGATTCGATTCCTTCGGGCTTGGTCCCCTTCGTGGCACGTGCTCGACAGCATTTTGGAGCATGAAAAGCTGTAAAAAAGGGAATGGCATTGGCTGTGATCCAGGGAAAAGGAGAAGCACGGGGGATGCACCTCCCAGAGGCTGAGCCCATCGCTGGGGTCTGTTCTGCACCATAAAATAACCCCTGAGCACCTCCACAGGTTTACCCTCACCGGCAGCACCTTAATCCCCTTCGGGAGCGCAGAAACTCCCAAACCAGAGGCTTTAATTCCTTCTGGGGTCACTTCTGGTTCAGCTGAACCCAGAGCGACACTTTAAGAGAAGTAGGAAACAACCCCAAAGCAAAACCGGGGAGAAGGGAAGGAGCCTGACAAAACAGAGTTGAGAAACTGCCCTGTCACACCCCGTGTGCGGAGCAACATCCCCACCCCAAAAATAAAAGATAAAGTGCCGAGCGCTGCCCAGCCCCTGCCCCAACCCTCGAGCACCTTCCCGGCCGAATCCTCCTTTTCCGGAGCCAAATCCCCCTGGACAAGGGAGAGGAGAACGGCTCGGCACAGCCACGGTAGGATTTGGGAGGAAAAAAAATTAAATTTATGGGTGGGAAATTCCTTGCGTTGAGTTCAAATGGTGATAACGGATTGCTGTGGGCATCCCCGAGGGAATTTCAGGAGCAGGGATCGATTTTCTATCAGGGGATCTTCCAGAGGGGTGTGGAGGGGAAGGAAAAACCTGCTGGGCTCCCTCACTGCCTTACACCGCATTTCTCCCAGTCTGTGCTGGTGAGGAGCTGGGGGATGGAGGGGAGACCCTGTCCCTGCAGGACAATTGTGGAATTTCTTCTAATAATGGGTGGGAAAAGTCCTGTTCTCTGTTATGTCAAATTTAAAATCTCTCCCGTGGTTGCTGGGGGGCTGTGCAGCATCACAGAGACGGGGTGGGCACAGTGAGACCCCTGACCCCAGAGCTCCAGCCCCAGTGCTGGGTGACAGAATTAGCCCCAGGACCACCAGTGCTGTCCCCAGGCTCTGCCCCCGAGTGTGGAACAGCTCCAGCTCCAGTGCTGGGTGACAGAATCAGCCTCCAGTGCTGTCCCCAGGCTCTGCCCTGAGTGTGGAACAGCTCCAGCCCCAGTTTTGGGTGACAGAATCAGCCTCCAGTGCTGTCCCCAGGTTCTGCCCGAGTGTGGAACAGCTCCAGCCCCAGTTTTGGGTGACAGAATCAGCCCCAGGACCTCCAGCAATTCCCAGTGTGGGACACGGCCCTCCGGACCCGCTCCAAGGAAGAACCCCCAGTGCCAGCACCATGGTGTGGGCAGCCCCAGCCCTGGCAGCCGTCACCCTGTGCCTCCGTGAGTCACATCCTGTCCCCAAAAACTGCCCTGGGACCCCCAGGCACCCCCTGGCACCAGGGATGCTCCAGCTATGCTGCTCCTCATCCCAACCCCGCTCCCAGGGCTCTGCCTCCCGCTGCCCTCAGCATCCACAGGCTTTTCCCAGGGACACATCTTCCCACATTTCCAGGGATGGATTTACCCCTTTGTGTCTTTCACACCCTCCTGGAGGAGCTGGGGGTGGTCGGGCTGGGGGCTGCTCTCTTCACAGTGATCCGCAGCGTTTCCTAAACATGAACTTAGCAAAGGAAAGGCTCTTCCCAGATTTCAGACCTGGAGCTGCGCAGAACAACAATATCCAGGGATGTTTCCTAACCTGCTCCTGCTTCCTTGCAGGTGTCTCCACAGCCCCGGTGAGAGCCACAGCGGTGAGTCCCTGCCGGCTCTGCTGGCTCCCACCGTGCCAGGGCTTGCCCAAAACTCCCCAGCTGGAGCTGGAGGTGCCACCACTCCCGCAGTGCTCAGTCCAGGGCGACACAGCCACCACCTCCCTGCTGTCCCCCTGTGCAGAGCGTGTCCCTGTCCCATCCCTCACCTCCTCCGTGCCCTGCTCCCAAACCCAGCTCCAGGCAAGCAGGGACAGCCCCAGCCGAGTGTCCCCTCTCCTGAGAGTGCCTAGGATGGCTTTTGTCCCCACAGGTAACCCAGGGGCTGTTCCCCTGGAGCTCTGCTCCCACGGGCAGCTCCAGCTGGGTCAGATCCCATTCCCGGCACCTCAGATCCCTTTTTCCCTTTCCTTACCGGGGCTGAGCATCCCCCATCCTCTCCCCAGGCTGCCCTGATTATTGGAGCCGTCCTGTCCAGCGCTGAGCATCCCCAGTAAGTACGAGGCTCCGGGGATCGGGGGGTTCCCGGGTGTCCGGAGGGTGAATTTGAGTTTTTCCCACCTCTGCTGCCGTGCCGGGTCACTGAGGCAGGGAGGATTTACAGCCCTGTGCAGCCGGTTCCGTGCTGGCATTCCAGCGGGTTGGGCTCCTGCAGAAACGCAAACACACCGAAAATTCCGCTCCCTCCCCGCAGCTGCAGCAGGAGCCTCACCCCGGCTGAAACCGGGGCGCTGCTGTTTTCTCCCACACCCAAATCCCGGGATACGGGGGCACCCAGGCGGCCGTGGGGGTGGCAGCAGCCTGGCACCGATTGTAGGGGACATTTTCATGACACCCCACCTGTACAGCCTCGGGGCGCAGGTGTGTGAGCTGGAGCCGGGCACCATCCTGGTATCGGATCCCAAGATCCTGGAGAAGCTGAAGCTCTGCCCGGCGCTGGCAGGGGCACAGCAGGATGCCCTCAATGCCCTGCTCCTCTCGGGGGACACGGCGTACGGGTGAGGAGCCCCCCTGCTCCTGGAAGGAAGGGTGAGTGATGGGCAGGAGGGGTGAGGGTCCACGGGGATGCTGAGCTGCTCCTGCTGCTGCAGGGATCCTTCGGGCTGGGATTCCCAAACTCTGCAAGATTTGGGGCCGCTCGTGCTGGCGTTGAACCGGACCACGCTGAGTTTGGTGGCCGAGGTAAGGTCTGTCCTGGCGGGGAGATGGTCACCAGGCAGGTCAGCTCTGAGGATGGGTGACACAGGATCCTGTGCCCCCATTCCTTGTGCCCTGTGTCCCTGTGCCTGTGCCCCATGTCCCTATCCCTGTGCCCCATGTCCCCCATATCCCAGCACCCTCTGTTCCTGTGCCCCATGTCCCAGCACCTGTGTCCCTATTCATGTCCCCCATGTCCCAGCACTCTGTGTCCCTGTCCCTGTGTCCCTGTCTCTGTGTCCCATGTCCCAGCACCTGTGTCCCTGTGCCCCATGTCCCATGTCCCTGTGCTCCATGTGCCCCATGTCCCAGCACCCCGTGCTCCATGTCCCTGTGCCCCATGTCCCCCATATCCCAGCACCTGTGTCCCTGTGCCCCCTGTCCCTGTCCCCCTGTCCCTGTGGCCCATGTCCCAGCACCCTGTTCCCCATGTCCCCCATGTCCCAGCACTCTGTTTCCCTGTTTCCCATGTCCCCCATATCCCAGCACCTGTGTCCCTGTGCCCCATGTCCCTCATGTCCCTGTGCCCCGCAGGCAGCACGGGAGGATTTCAGGAGGAGCATCGTGACTGCCTACATCAGGCAGGGCCGTTCCCAGCGGAAGAAATCCCTGCTGCTCCTCAGGGCTCTGGCAGCAGCCTCAGCCTCCTCCCGGCCCAGGCTGCAGCGCAGAGAGGACAGTGAGTGTCCCCTCCCTGCGGCCAGTCCCGAGCACTGGGAGGGGACAATGCCCCGGGGCTGGTGGGCTCTGGGAGCTCCCGGCTGGACCAGGCAGAAATTTGGGGTTCCCACAAACTGGGGAAGTGTCCTTGAAGCAGAGTGGGGGTTTGCTCTCACCTGGGAGCAGGGATGTGCTGGCAGCACTCAGGAAGGAGCTGGGACACTGGGACAGTCCCCAGGTGGGAGATATGGAGCAGTTTGAGCTGCCTTTAACACGACAAAGCACAAATGGGCTGCAAAGCACCACCAGGTTCTTCTGGAATGACTTTAGGGAAGGACAGCAAGTGAGGCACCTCAGTGGATTGGGGACCAAGAGATGGAAGCAGAACCCACCGTGGCTTGAGCCACGTTTTTGTGATTCCCTGTCCTTCACCAGGGCTCTTCCAAGGGGCTCTGAGCCCTGTGGCAGGAGCAGGGCCAGGTGGGAAGGGGACACATGGGACACACACCCTCTGCCTGACACAATTTCTTGTCCTCAGGCTGCCGGTCCAAACCCATCACCTCCAGCAACATCGATGACATCCTCCTGGTCATATTCTTCTCCCCTGACTGGCGTACCCAGCTTGACCTGTGCCTGAGCAATAATGTGCTAATAGACAACTTGGAGGCTGTGCTGGACATGCCAATCCCCAAAGAGGGTCGCTGGGTCCTGAAGAAAAAGGTGGATGAGGTGAGGGGTGACACAGGACAGGAGCCCCCCAGCAGCACAGGCCAAGCCAGGATGGGCAGGGAACAGGGATCGGTGGGCACAGGGTGAAGGTGCCCAGGTGGGTCCTTTGCACTCATTCCTGCCCTATTTGTCCTTCCCTCACCCTATTTCCTGCCCCACAGTATTTCAAGGACTCAGGGATCCCGGAGGAGCAGCTGAGGCGCCTGGGAGAGCTGTCCCGGCTGTACACGGAGCAGGAGATCAGCAAGTGGTCACTGAATTCCAGTGAAACCCTCTCAGCCCTGCTCAGCCCCTCGGGAGGAGATTGGAACGATTCCCAGGTAAATCCATGGCAGCAGAAGGGGATGGGTGATGAGGGACTCAGACTGCAGCTCAAGGTGGAGACACTGTGGGTTTTTTTTTGGGGTTGGCAGCACTGCCATCCTTACCAGGAGCATCTCCCAACCCTGCCTGTGCCTTCCATGTGCCCTGTGTCCCTCAGGTGCAGCAGCTGCTCACCGTGTACCTGAACCACGGGGGCTGCTTGACGGGGTCCCTGCTCCGCCAAATCGGAAGCAAACGCCTGTGCAAAATGCAGGAGGAGCAGATCCAGAAGATCCCTGCTAAAGCCATGAGGTGAGCTGCTTTTTGGGGCTGCTGCTCAGCCCTGAGAGGCCCCAGGGCTCTGGGGAGCTGGGATAGGAGAGCCCCAGCTCTGTTGTGGGCGTCCCCATTCCCAACCAGGACAGTGGAACGGCTGTGTCCCAATCCCAGATCCTACCTGAGCTCCAGGACCATGAGCAGGGATATTCTGCTCATCCCTTCCAGCCACCAGAACTATTAATCTGCAATTTGGGGTGCTGCTGGTGCCTGGAGAGGCTGCCTGGAGAAGAGGCTGGGCAGAGTTAAAGAATAAAGCAGGGATTTATTAAAAAGGCCTTCAAAGGATGCACCTTGGGCAGTGCAAGAGCCTGGCCAAAGCTCCACCCAAGACGGACCCTGGCTCAGGAATTTGCACACTTTTACAAGTTTTGGTCCATTTCCATGTTGGGTTCATTGTCCAGTTCCAGTCCCACCCTCTCAGGCTGCTCTCCTCCATTCCTGCTGGTTGCACTTTTTGGGGCTGAAGCTGCAGCAGTGTCCTTGGTTCTGGGCTGGAAAAGGATTGTTCTGTGTGCTGAGCTGGTTCTGGGCTGGAAAAGGATTGTTCTGTGTGCCTGAGCTGGTTCTGGGCTGGAAAAGGATTGTTCTGTGTGCCTGAGCTGGTTCTGGGCTGGAAAAGGATTGTTCTGTGTGCCTGAGCTGGTTCTGGGCTGGAAAAGGATTGTTCTGTGTGCTGAGCTGTGAGGGGAGCTGCTGACACTTCAAATGGAGCTCAGAGTTACAAACCAATGCAGTGCAGAATCTGGAAACCACGAAAGCTCAAACTTAAGGGATCACTGCTGACCTGTGCCCCCCTTCCAGGACTGCTGGGAAGCTGGACATCTCTTCATGCAACCAAACCAAGAAGGAGCTGCTCTACAAAAAGGCCCAGGAAGCCTTTGCCAGCCTGGCCAGCAACCCCAGCCCCTATTACTCCCTGATGCAGCCATACCTGGGTAGGTGCTTCCCCTCCACCTTTTGGGATCCCTTCTCAGCCACAAACAGGCCTGGCAGTCTCCAGAACCTCCCCAGATCCTCCCCAGAAGTGCTGGAAGGGTTTGCACATCTCCAGGTGTCCCCTGGGCTCTCTTTAAGGTGGAGCTCCAGCAAAGGATCTGAAGGACTTGGCTAATACTTGTGCGGCCATAAACATGGATCTGAGCACCTTCCTCACCCTAAATCCTGAGGAATTGCAGGTACAGCCCTGGGGTGCTGCTGTCCCACTCCCCAGGGAAGGGCTGAGGGCTGAGCAGGGTGGGGCTGAGGTCAGAGCCCAACCAAACCACCAATTCTCCACTTTCTCACTTTATAAACTTCCTTTAGGAAGATTTAGTTGCTCTGCAGCCCCGTTAGGAAAGCACCTGGGGCTGTGGGGCTGAAGGCAGGGGGGCTGTGTGTGTGTTGCAGAAACTCAGCGTCACTGATGTGAAGTTTTTGATGGGGGTAAACCTCCAAGAGCTGAAGGACGCCAAGAACGAGCCCTTGGTGGTGACCTGGGTGCAGCAGCAACCCCAGCAGGAGCTGGACTGCGTGCTGGGCATCGGCCTGCAGGGAGGGCAGCCCGGGCCCACGGGGACAGCCTGCCCTGTTGTCACCTGCCCTGCTGCCACCAGCCCGGCCAGTGTCACCTCCACGGCCACTCTCACCACCTCTCCTCACCCCACCAGCCCGGCCAGCGGTACCTCCACAGCCACTGTCACCACCTCTCCTCACCCTGCCACCTCAGCCAATGTCACCCCTGTGCCCACCACCCTCCCCACTGCCACCTCGGCCAGTGTCACCCCTGTGCCCACCACCCTCCCCACTGACACCTCATCCAGTGTCACCCCTGTGCCCACCACCCTCCCCACTGACACCTCGGCCAGTGTCACCCCTGTGCCCACCACCCTCCCCACTGCCACCTCGGCCAGTGTCACCTCCACGGCCACTCTCACCACCCCTCCTTACCCCACCAGCCCGGCCAATGTCACCTCCACAGCCACTGACACCTCCACAGCCACTGTCACCACCTCTCCTTACCCCACCAGCCTGACCAGTGTCACCCCTGTGCCCACCACCCTCCCCACTGCCCCCAGCACCTCGGCCACTGTCACCTCCACGGCCACTGTCCCCACTGCCACCCCCACTGCCCGTCCCGCTGTGACCAGCACAGTGCCCTGCTCCACCCACCAGGCTGCCACCCCAGACAGAGCCACCTCCCCCCCTGTCACCCTCCTCAGCACCCTCCTGGCCACCAGCAGCCCCAGTGCCACCCCAGTCCCTGCTGTCACCTCCAGGGCCACCACCAGCACTAGTGTTGGCACTAGCCTGGCTGGTACCACCCACAGCAGTGTCACCACTGTCCCCAACCCCTCCTCTGCTCCCATTGACACCCACAGCACTGTCACCACTGTCCCCAACCCCACCTCTGCTCCCACTGCCACCCACAGCACTGTCACCCCTGTCCCCAACCCCACCTCTGCTCCCACTGCCACCCACAGCACTGTCACCACTGTCCCCAACCCCTCCTCTGCTCCCACTGCCACCCACAGCACTGTCACCCCTGTCCCCAACCCCTCCTCTGCTCCCACTGCCACCCACAGCACTGTCACCTCCATCGATTCCACCTCTTCTCCCACTGTCACCCCCTTTCCCAAACCCTCCTGTGCTCACACTGCCACCCCTGTCCCCAACCCTTCCTCTGCTCCCACTGCCACCCACAGCACTGTCACCTCCCTCCCCAATTCCACCTCTTCTCCCACTGTCACCCCTGTCCCTCACTCCCCCTCCACCCCAGATGCCACCGCAGCCCCAATGCCCAGCTCCACCCCAATTTACAGCTCCACCCCAATTCCCACTTCCACCCCAGTTCCCAGTTCCACCCCAACTCCCAGTTCCACCCCAATTTCCAGTTCCACCTCAATTCCCAGCTCCACCCCAATGCCCAGCTCCACCCCAATTCCCAGCTCCACCCCAATTCCCAGCTCCACCCCAGTTCCCAGCTCCACCCCAATTCCCAGCTCCACCCCAGTGCCCAGCTCCACCCCAGTTCCCAGCTCCACCCCAACTCCCAGTTCCACCCCAATGCCCAGTTCCACCCCAGTTCCCAGTTCCACCCCAGTTCCCAGCTCCACCATCCCCACCCAAACAAGCCTTGGCTCCTCCACAGCCGTGCCGTGCCAGCCCAGCTCCCCTCCAGACCCTTCCAACCCTTCCTCCAGCCCCAAAACCACACCTGGGAGCGTTCCAGAGCCACCAGATACAACCCCCAACGGCTACATCACCCTGAAACCTGCTCCTGGTGAGCTGGGAGTGGTGGGAAAGGCTTGGGAATGCCGGGCAGGACAAAGCTGGCTGTCCCCTGCTTCCTGGTGGCACTCAGTGCTGGGGGACAGCTGGGGACGTGGCCCTGGGGCTGCCCTCAGGTTCTCAGGTGCCCTTCAAAGTGTCTCATTGCCACCTCCTGAGCTCCTCAGAATCTCACTCCCTGTGTTCTCCCTGCAGGATCGGGATCCAGGCTCTGCTCCTGCCTCGCTCTCCTGCTGGCAGCCACCGTGGGCACCGTCCTGCTGGGGGGGCTGCCCTGAGCCCCCCAACATCCCCCACCCTGCTCAGCCCTCCCTCCATCCCAGCAGAACTGCGCCGGGCAGGTCCCTGCTGGACAGCAGAACCCCAGGCAAGGCAAGAGAACTCGTCCACATTTGATGCCACCACAGGATTTGGTTCTTTTTGAGGCTGGGCAGTGAAGGAGGAACAGATTTTTCCAGCCTGGAGAAGCCTGACAGGTCCTTACTAGAGATTGACTCCCTGTAGTACCACCAGCAGTGATGCTGAGTGCTCTGCCAAGGCAAGAACACCGGGCCCAGCTCTTCCAGGGATTTTCTGTCCATCCCATCCCACTGGGATCTGCTAAACACTGGGAAAAACTCAGGGATTTCAGTCACTGGTGGCCCCACACCACAGCTGAGAGAGCCCCAAAAATCCTGTTTAACTTTTCTCACGAGCTGCTTTTTGATCAAGGTTTGTTCAAACCACACACACAGACTCTCATGGGATGATTAGCTGGAGATAATTTATCTTGATTACTGTTCAGTGCTGTACAATAAAACATCAATCAGCTCTTTTTTCCTAATCCAATGTGTCCTTTGAGATGTTCAGTGCTTTCTGGGGAAGCTTTTCCTGCATAAATCCAAAATCTGCAGAGAAGGACAGACCTGCTCCCTCTCTAGAAAGCTCAGACAGTGAAGGTTTATAAGATATTAAATATATAAATACCTTTTTCCTTCCCAGACTCTCCTCCTGGAGGAAAGGGGGATGTCAGGAGCTGGATACAGGTTTCATTGAGGGTTTGTGGTTTTTTTGACAGATATTTCCAATGAATGGGGAAAAAATATGGAAATACTTGTACAAAATTCCTTTCTTCCATCCCAAATGTTGACCAGCCAACCCCAAGGAACAGGAACAGGCAGATCCTGGGATTCTGAGCCTTAATTTGGGGGGATTCCTGCAGACAGGAAGGCGAGGGCAGCCTCAAGGAAGAGCAGACACTCATCAGTTTGCTTCTGGCATTTTTACTCAGTTCCAGGATTTATTTACAAGCAGCTGGAAAACTTCCCTCCCACCCTGAGGTCTTGGCAGTGTCATGAGGTCAGGCGCTGAGAAATGTCATTTTTAACCTGCAGAACTCACCCTTAAACCCAGCAGTAAGACGTGGTTCAGCAGTGGTTTGGTGCTGAGCTGGGCTTGGGCTGTCCCAAAGGCAAAGATCCAACGTCACAGAGTCTGGAATCTTCCCTTCAGACACAACTGGGTTTTTTTTCCAATGACTTGAAAGCCAAAAGTACCTAAAAGTGAGTCCTGGGCTGGTCCCAGGCTGTGGGCACTCCTCAGGCCAGGTCTCAGCAGGTCACAGCTGGTCCCCCTTGGCTCCTCGTGGATGGAGATGCTCAAGACAGGATGGAAACCATGAGGAAGCTGAGGAGCAGCGCAGGCAGGAGGTGGAACACCATGGCCACGGTCCCCAGAGGGGCTGAGGACAGTGCTGGGGGACAAAGAGGGCATCAGAGCAGAGAAATCAGTGACTGAACTGTGGGAAATGGATTTGTAGAGATAGGACTTGTTTGAGATAAGAAATGCTGACTTAGAAAAGGCATGGAATGAGATAGAAATGGAACTAGAAACAAGTTTCAAAGGATGGAAATAAGAGTGGATCCTTTAGAGAAACAGAGCTATGAAAGATGCATTGGAGTAGGACCCACGAGGGAGAATTTTAGATTATTAACTTTAAGGCATTTACAGCATGGTGTAGCAAAAGCTGATAGGCCAAGAAAAGCTTATAATATAATTAAGAAATAGTTGGCTTCCAATTGTGATGGCGCCAATTAGAACATTTGTATGGTCTCACCCTTCAGATGAGACTGAAAATGGAATTAAAGTTTTTAAAATGCCTCTCAGTTACCTCATCTCTAAGTCAGAAAATAACTTAATCCAACAACTGAACCACCCCTCCATGGGGAAAACATCCCTCCGTGCCCCCTCCAGGGATTCTCTTCGCCTGTCTAACCACGGCAAGCACCAAGCTGAGTTTGGGGCTGGAACTGGAGGTTCCTCAAGTCTGTTCAACCCAAAGCACTGCGATTCTGCCTCTAAGCCCAAAGCCAGCACCCCCGAGGAGGAAGGGCTGGAAGTTCTCACTCAGCAGGGATGCTCCCAGTGGGATTCCAGGATTGCTCCTCACTTCTCGGGGTCTGCGGATTGAGGTGACCCTGAGAATGTAAAAGTCCTCATTTCCCAGCCCTGCAGCCAAAGAAATCTGAATGTGCAGTTCGGCTTCTCAAGGTTGTTTATTTTCCCTTATCCAGAACATTCTTTCTCTGACCTGCTGAGCTCTGTCCAGCAGGTTGTCCATTGGTGTTTGCATTTTATACCAAAAACTACCTGTGCCATGTTTACAACAACGTGCCAATGTCTGTCATTTCTGTTGGACTGTGTGTCTGTGCCTTAAACCAACACAAAAGTGTCACCAGCACAGCAAGGTATGGAGGGCAAGATGAAGGAGAAGAAGGTCAGGACATGCCCAAATCCCTCCTCTTGTACCCCTTCAACCCCATTCTAAAACCCCAAAATTCCACTTTTTCACCCTGTGCTAACTCAGCTACCACACTGCTCAAACCCTTGTGTCTGTAATTCCTCACACAAAGTTGGCAGCTTTTCCCACGGGCTAAAATCGAAGCCACGGGTGTTTGTGACTTGGTGCCAGGGTCTGTGAGCCCCTGCCAGGGTCTGGAGCAGCCAGGGCAGCCAGAGGGATGTGCTGGGATCCCACATTCACTCTGCACCCAGAATTTGCCCTGCAGGGCTTCAGGCTCCTCAGCAGAGCTGCCCCACTTCCAGTCCTTGCTGCAACCCCAAAAGAAGCTGTTAAACCCCAAAAAGAAACTGTTAAGCCCCCAAATAAGCCATTAAATCCCAAAAGGAATTGTTAAACCCCAAAAGAAGCCACTAAACCCCAAAAAGAAGCCGTTAAACCTCAAAAAGAAGCCATTAAGCCCCAAAAGAAGCCGTTAAACCCTAAAACAAACCGTTAACACCCAAAAGAAGCCGTTAAGCCCCAAAAGAAAGTGTTAAATCCCAAAAAGAAGTCGTTAAACCCCAAAAGAAACCATTAAACCCCAAAAAGAAGCCGTTAAACCCCAAAAAGAAGCCGTTAAACCCCAAAAAGAAGCCGTTAAGCCCCAAAAGAAGCCGTTAAACCCCAAAAGAAACCATTAAACCCCAAAAGAAACCATTAAACCCCAAAAGAAACCATTAAACCCCCAAAAGAAGCCGTTAAACCCCAAAAGAAACCATTAAACCCCAAAAGAAACCATTGACCCCCAAAAGAAGCCGTTAAACCCCAAAAGAAGCCGTTGACCCCCCAGCAGCAGGCCCCAGCAGTACCTGGGAATTTGGGGCTGACCAGGTTGATGTAGCCCTCCTGCACGCCCCCCGTGAGCCCAACGTGGAGCTTGTCCAGCTCCGCCTGTTGCTGCAGCACGATCCAGTCGCGCACGGGAGTCTGGAACTGCCACCGCGCCAGCTCGGGCAGGTTCACCCCCAGCAGGCCCTGCACCTCGCGGGGTGTCAGCGGCTAGGAGAGAAAACCCAAATATGGATTAAAACATTCAAAAAAATTTTAAAAATTTTAAAAAATTAAAAAAAAAAAATTTAAAAATCCCAAAAAAATCTCAAAAAAAATTTAAAAAATAAAAAATTAAAATAAAAAATTTTTTTAAAATCAAAAAATATCCCAAAAAATCCAAAAATAAATAAATAATAAAAAAATTAAAATAAATTTTTTTTTAAATCAAAAAATATCCCCAAAAATAAAAAAAAAGAAAAAATAAAAAAATTGATTTTTTTAAAATAAAAAATATCACAAGTGTTTATAGACCTCATGTTGGAGATAGAAATGCGACCCCCAAAAATTTAATAAATAAAAATTAACCAAAAAATTAATAAATATGTAATATTAAATATATATTATATGTTAAAAATTATACTACATATTACTTAATATATAAATTTTAAAAGATTTTATAAATAAAAAATATGTTGAAGTAAAACATAATATTTCTTTAAAAATAAACCAGGAGCTTCTTTCACTACATAAACAAGAGTATATATGAATTTATATATTATATTTATTAATATAAATATATATTAATATATATATAGTATAAATTAATTTATATATTATATTATTAATTTTATAAGTGATAAATAATAAAAGAATATCAGTAATACTATAATATTGTAATAACATATTAAATAATAAAATATAAATAATAGAATCATCTAATACATTATAATATAGGTTAATGAATAATAAATTATAAACAATAATAGCATATAATATAAACAATTATATTATTTAATATATATTATGATAAATATAATATATAAAAAAGATAAGAATATAATTAATAATAACATTTTTATAATCTTAATTCTATCTTAAATATAATTTTATATCTTAATTAAACCTTGCTTATTTTTCTACTTTAATTTATGCATAAATTTATTTTCATTTTGTTGTGGTTTTAGTTTGTTAATGTTGAATTTTTGTTGATTTCCATATTTCTTGATTAATGTACTAAATAGTGTGGTGGGTTTCTCCACTTTCTCCACTTTCCACTGCTCTAACAGAACAAATTTTGGATTCGATGGAATTTGGATTTGATGATTTCTTTGCATCCACCCAGGATTCCAAATTCTACTTCTTAAGGAATTTCAGGCCCTTTCTCCACTGCTCTAACAGAACAAATTTTGGATTCGATGGAATTTGGATTTGATGATTTCCAGCAATGGACAACACAACCAAACTCCAGCACTGAGCACAACAAAATGCAGGAAATTAAGGAATTCCAAAGGCCAGCTCACCATCACTGCGTCTCTTCTCAAAGTCACAAAGGTGGTCACGTTCATGTTCACGTCCTTCTTGCTGAGAACTTTGAGATCTGCAGCAGGAGCCCCCCCTGGCACCAAAGCAAGGAGAACATCGAAGGATGGCACACCCCAAAGGAGCACTGCTGGCTCTCTGCACTAAATTAAAATTTCTCCAAAATCCATTAGGCTGATAACACACTGAGGTCCAGCTGCAAAACATGAGGATGTTCCTCCTTCTTTTATTGGGAGTTATTTTGTTGGGCGTTAAAAATCTGTGGCCACGCCAGACAGTGGAAAGAAGGGTGAGGAGAATTTGGAAAAATTCCTGGCTTAACAGGAAAAAAGAAAAGTGACATGGAAAAGGGTTTTGAGATAAATCCTGAGTTTGATTTTCCTTGTGATGGTCTGGAAACAGATTTGGGCAATTTAAAGCAGGCAGAGAATATTTTATGTCATCTACAAGCTGGAAAGACAAACTTTTAACAACTTGACTTTGAAAATTCCCAAATCTTCGATGGATTTCGATACCCATTTATTTTGTGGCTAAGTTCTCTTTCCCCACAACATCCTGTTTTTTTTACATACCCAGGTAAGGTAAAATCAGCTCGTAGTAAGCAGGTAAATGGTTCTGGTCAGAGAAAGCTTCTTTGGCTTTCTGGTACAAGATGTTCTTTGTCTCCTGGGAACAGGCTGAAGGATCCAGAGATACCATTCTGCAGGAAAATCAAGATTTAGAGTGAAAAAAGCTTTTATTACCTTCAACATGTTCCATTTTTGCACATTCTGAGTGTTTGTCTGGGTTTCTCTGCACAGCACAGGTGATCCCTGATTCCCAGCTCTATGGAGAGAAGCCGAGAGGAAAAACAATGGCCCAGAGAATTTCCTGCTGAGAATTTGTCCTTCAAGTGACGATGGCTCTGATGGTGCCCGATAAATCTGTGTGTTTGCCAAGTGGTAATTAATTAATTTCATTTAATTTCATTCACTCTTTCAGAGGAATTCAAACTGGAAATGCTTAAAAACTTCGAGGATGTGGCAGTTGATGGTTTAGTGGTGACCATCAACTGATGGTCGTGGCTGATGATCTGAGAGGCATTTTCCAACCTTAACGACTCATTAATTCTATTGAACTCAATTTAATTCACTCTTTTGCAGACGAAAGCAGGCACAGAGTCAGATTTGCAGCCTGCTGGGCTGAAATGAAGAGAGTTTGACTGGAAATCCGAGCCCTTCCTGGCAGGTTCTGAGGTGCTTCCTAAATTCCCTTTCCCTGAGAGCAGAAAAAAAGGAAAAGGATGGGGAAGGGCTTCTGGAAGAATTTGGGACTCACTTGAGGACGGGGGGGTGGATGGCCTCCAGCTGGGTGGCATTCAGCAGGCACACGTACTTGGTGCCAATGGCACCCAGGGCCGTGGCATTCAGGGCATTGCCCAGCTCCATGTAGCGATTAATTGCTGCTGAGGCCTAGAAACACAATTCATTAGATGAATTTAATTGAATCAGAAGGTGTGGTTTTACCCCCGAAAGAAACTCTGTATTTTATAATTACAAAAATAAAATGGAACCATTCCAGATCTGTTCGTGTTGCTATGAGTTTTGTGTTAGAGCTAGAAATGAGATGAGATATTTGGTTTTTTGTGTAGAATAGTTTATTTTTATTGTACACAATTTATATTATTTTGGTATTTATATTTTAATTGTTTCATTAATTTTAATTGTTTAATTATTTAATCATTAAATTTATTTTAAAAATATTTTCTATTAAATTAAATTTTATTTATTTATTTTGTTCATTATTATGTTATTATTTTTATTGCATACCATTTCTATATGGCATTAGAAGGTATTGTGTTTGAATTTAATTGGTTAGTAATCTAGTGAAACTTAGTTCATTGGTTGGTTAAGGGTTGTTGTTTATTAAACAATATGTTATATATTTGTATATATGTTATATATTTATGTATATGTTATACATTTATGTATATGTTATATATTTATATATAATATATTTATATATGTTATATATTTATATATTTATATATAAAATATTTTTATATGTTATATATTTATATATATGTTATATGTTTATGAAACTTTTTTATAGATATGTTTATATTTTTAATGGATTTTATGGGATAAACGTCTTGTTTTTATAGGTGTGAACTGGTTTTTTTACAATAATAGATTGTTGTGCTGATTTTTACTCTTATGTTTTCTTTTTAATGGGAATTTAATAGGTCAGCGTAAAACAGAAAGGTCTGATTTTTATGAAGCCTTTCTTTTATAAAATTTATGTTCATTGAGCCACCCAAAATTCTGGCACCAAAGATGCTTCAACCCCCTCGGGACCCACTCAGTCCATCCCAAAGGCAGGAAAGCAAATCCAAGCCCTACCAGGGAATCCGAGGGTTGGGGCTGGATTTTCAGGAATGCATCCAGCAGGTCAACAGAGCTCAGATTCCAGGTGGAAATCTCCTCCGGGGTGAACATGGTGAGGAAAGGACCCAGGTTGGAGAGGACATTTTCGGGATAACCATTGGGATAACGCTGTGGAGACACCGGTTATGGCTATGGAGGGGGCTGAGGGAGTCGGGCTTGGAGATCCTAAATTCACCAGGACAAGACCCAAGAGATCCCATCAGTGGAAATTTAAGATCCTTGGAGATCCTAAATTCCCCAGGACAAGACCCAAGAGATCCCATCAGTGGAAATTTAAGATCCTTGGAGATCCTAAATTCACCAGGACAAGGCCCTGAGAGACTCCATCAGTGGAAATTTGAGATCCTTGGAGATCCTAAATTCACCAGGACAAGGCCCTGAGAGATCCCATCAGTAGCAACTGGACATTTTTGGGCTGGAATTACCTCTTTCAGGTGTTCCTTTATCACAGCCAGCTGGGGGATGGTGAAGGGGTAGGTGACAAACTGGGAGAGGTGATTTTCCAGGGGGGAATTCCCGAGGCAGGCCCGCAGCTCCTCGGGGGTGTAGTAGAGAGGCATTGCATCATCGTTCAGAACTTCGTCTGTTATCTCCTGGCCAGCTGGGCAACCTGCTGAAGCCATGGAAAACTCAGAGTTAAATTAAATTTTTTAGCTCCAAGCTTTGGATGCCAGAATCATTTCGGTTGGAAAAACCTCCAAAGTTGATCTGTGCCCAATCCCCACTTTGTCACCAGCACTGAGTTCCTTGGACACTTCCAGGGATGGGGACATCAAACCTCCCTGGGAGCCCCTCCCAAGGCCTGAGGAGCTCCAGGGTGACTCCTGGTCCCAGAGGGAATGTCAGGGTGAGCCCAGTCCCAGAGGGAATGTCAGGGTGAGCCCAGTCCCACAGGGAATGGTTTGGATCAGGAGGAGCTCCCGTACCGGACTCCCGCTTGTGCCGGCGGGGCAGGAGCTCCTCAACAACAGTGGCCAGCTCCTCCCTGGATAGGGATGAATCCCAGGCAAAGTTCCTCAGCCAGGTGGTCAAAGCCTTCTGCAAGGAAAAGGGATCATCAGGGGGATTTGGGAATGCTGGATGTGCCTCCAGCACAGCCCCTGCTCCTCACACGCCGGGCTCTGAGCCTGGAGATCCTGAGCCAAAAGCAATTCCTTAAATGTTCCATTCTCCCTTTCCCCCAGGCCATCGGTGAGTGGAGCTCCTCACAACGCTCCTCACAAAGTTATTCCTGCTCTCCCCAAGTTACAGGAAGGGGCTGGCAGTGACTTGGATTTGCAGTTCCAGCCTGTCAGCTCTGGTGCCTTAAGTTTGAGCTTTCGTGGTTTCCAGATTCTGCGCTGCATTGGTTTGTAGCTCTGAATTCCATTTGGAGTGTCAGCAGCTCTGCTCACAGCTCAGCACACAGAACAATCCTTTTCCAGCCCAGAACCAGCTCAGGCACACAGAACAATCCTTTTCCAGCCCAGAACCAGCTCAGCACACAGAACAATCCTTTTCCAGCCCAGAACCCCCTCAGGCACACTGAACAATCCTTTTCCAGCCCAGAACCAGCTCAGGCACACAGAACAATCCTTTTCCAGCCCAGAACCAGCTCAGCACACAGAACAATCCTTTTCCAGCCCAGAACCAAGGACACCACTGCAGCTCCAGCCCCAAAAAGTGCAACCAGCAGGAATGGAGGAGAGCAACCTGGGAGGGTGGGACTGGAACTGGACAATGAACCCAACATGGAAATGGACCAAAACTTGTAAAAGTGTGCAAACTCCTGACCCAAGGTCCATCTTGGGTGGAGCTTTGGCCAGGCTCTTGCACTGCCCAAGGTGCATCCTTTGAAGGCCTTTTAATAAATCCCTGCTTTATTCTTTAACTCTGCCCAGCCTCTGCTCCACCAGCAGCTCCTCCCTTCCCACACCAGCCCATCCCTCTGGCACCAGAACTGCTGGAACCAGGCTGGCTCAATGCCCCCAGCAGCTGCCAGCCTCATCCCCAGCCCAGCAGAGCTTCCCAAAATCCCCAGCCCACCTTGGGGATCTGCTGCAGGATGCTGGGACCCAGCACGGGGATCAGCCCGCTCAGCTCACTCAGGGTGAACGCTGACCACGCCGCAGGAGGCCTGCAGGCAAAAATGTGGGGCAAATAAGTAAAACCTAATGAAAGAAAAGCCTTATTAAACGTAATTTAAGCTAGTTTATTCAATTTCCACAGGAAAATACTTATAAAAATAAAAAAAATCAATTTCCATAACAATCTACTATTGTAAGAAAACAGTTTGCAGCTACAAAAATAAGAAGTCTATCCCATAAAAATCCATAAAGAAAAAATATAAACTATCTAGAAAAATGTAATAAACATATACACTACCCATTACCAACCAATTAAATTCAATAATTTACTAACCTATTAAATTCAAATACAGTACCTTCTAATATCATATAAAATGAGCTATATAAAGTAAAAATTCAGCTATTCTACACAAAAAAAAGAAGTGTCTCATCTGCCCCATTTCTATCTCTAACACAAAGCTACAACAAAAATGAGCAGGAATCACCTCTCAAGGAAGAACAAAAATGAAAAAAACACCTTTAAATCCCCTGGGATTTAACATGTGACACTAAGAAAACATCAGGTTTAAACCCTCAAACACCTCAATCACTTCCTGCTGCACCAAACGTCCTTGCAGCAGGGCAGGAGAAGCTGTCAGGGACATAAATCAGGGCAGCTGGGTGGGAAAATGGCCTTGAACAAACACATTCTTTTCTTAAGGCTCTTTCTGGAGCCCAAAGAATTTATCTTGCTCACTGTGGCCCAATTCAGTGCCAAGATCTGGGGGTAACTGACATGGGAAGGGAAATATTTTGCTTCCCTGTGTGTTAGAATAGGGATTTATAAAACATCTCTCACTGGACAGGCAGAGGCAGATTGTCTCCTGGAAATCTGTGCCTGACCAACAGCCTGAGCTCACCTGTCATCACCAGGCCAGTCAGAGAAGTTTGATTAATGAAAAAATAATTTTTCAGACCAGAGGAAAAGCTTTGATAATTGAGCAAGATAGACACAGGAGTGACCACTTATTTTTCAGGAGAATTTCTCCCAGGCCTTTCAGCTGAAATAATTTCAACTAAACAACATAAAAGACCCAGTGTAAAGCTCAAAAGCAAGAAGATTTTTGGGTTTTTGATCAAGCTGCTTGGCTGGAGTTCACTCAGGCCTTAATAGCACCATGGGTTTGATTAAGGGAACAGTCCAGGAGAAAAACCCATACCCAAAGGTGGTGTTGCCACTGCTGAGGACGTCCCTGATGGCCTCTTCTTGCTCAGGCAGGAAAGATCCACACTGGCTCAAATCCTTCAGCAAACTGCCCCCAGAACTCCTGATGTACTCCTCACCCAGGTCACACACCAGCCAGCCCAGGACCTCAGCATTTTCCTTATTTATTTGTGTGCCAGGAATTCTCTGGAGTAAAGGTAGAGGCATTAATTGGGATGGAGCATCCCTGGACCCCAATCCCTACAGGACCCAAATTCCTGCAGGACCCCAAGTCCCGCAGGACCCCAATCCTTGCAGGACCCCAGTCCCTGCAGGATCCCAAACCCTACAGGACCCCAGACCCTACAGGACCCAAATTCCTGCATGATCTCAGCATTTTTCTTATTTATTTGTGTGCCAGGAATTCTCTGGAATAGAGGCAGAGGCATTAATCTGGGTGGAGCATCCCGGGATCCCAATTCCTGCAGGACCCCAGCCAATCCCTGCAGGATCCCAACTCCTGCAGGACCCAAATTCCTGCAGGATCCCAATCAATCCCTGCAGGACCCCAGTCCCTGCAGAACCCCAATCCCTGCAGGATCCCAATCCCTCTCCTCATACCAGACACTCCAGAGCCTCCAGGAGCAGCTGCTGCCTCTGAGGGGCCTCCCTGGGCAGAACATCCCCGTTTGCCTTCCCAACATTGATGAAAAACTGGCTGCAATTCCCTGTGGCTGCATAGTCTGAGGGGCTGGAAAGACAAACTCCATGAATTTTAGGGAATGAGATCAAGCTCAACACATCCCATGCCTGATAAAACATCCTCCACACTGAACTCCAGGTGTTGCTCTTCCCCTGTTCCCTCGTTTTCTTCTATGCCATTTAAAAATTCCTTGAATTTAAAAAATGGTTCTTTAAAAAAAAAAATCAATTTTCACCTGAAGGAATCTGTTGTGTGAGACAGGGCTTAAAACTGTTTAAGGTTTGAGTACAGAACCACAGCAGGAAGGTATTGGAACAGGGGAATCCACTTTATTCCCTGTTTTCTTTGGTGTTGTAAGGGAAAAGCACATTCAGAGGCCTGGGAATGCTAAAGTTGGCCTTGGACACTGCCTGGGATGGGGCAGCCTCAGCTGCTCTGGGAAACCCGGGCCCCTCACCCTCACAAGGAAGGATTTATTCCAATTTCTCATATAAATCTACCCTCCTCCAGCTTTCTGCAATCCCATTTTTTATTCCCCAGGAAGAGGCCTAAACAACTCTGCAATAGAAATCAAATCAGTCAGCCTGGTTATAAACGAATCCTTATTTTCCCCCATGTTGCTCTAAGGCAACATGATGAAAAGCACAGCACAGTTACCTCAAAAACAGCAGCAGGTCTTGGGGATAACTGTCCAAATCCTTGGGAATCCCGTGCAGAGTCACCATCTTCAGCAAGCAGCTCAGCTGCAAGGACAGCAGGGATGGATAGAAGCAGAGAAACCACCAGGGAAAAGGTAAAATAATGCAAAAATGGTTGGAATTTCAGGCTTTCTGTGCACTGACCCCCAGGAGAACACTGCACTTGACCCGAGGCCGTGGAGAAGCTTCCCAAATTGAATGTGAGAAGTGGAATTATGAGAATTATGAGAATTATTATCGTTTGAATAGAAGTAATCACATGGTGGAGAACTTAAGAGTTGAAGGCTTTAGAATATAGAATATAAAATATGTATTTTTAGAATATAGTGTATCTAGAATATAGTATTTTGTAATATAGTATTATAGAATATATTTTAGAATATAGTAATATATATTTCATTTAAAGGCGGAGTCTGGTCCTTCTCCTTCTCCTTCTCCATGGGTTTGGGTGGTTTTGTGTAATTGGATTAAAAAGCCCACATTGCAGGGCACAGGTGCTTGGTTATTGGGTTAAAAGTAAAAATAATTTAGGTGTCATTTCTTCATTGGACAGTTGATCCTTAAAAGGCATTGTAGAGAGGGAGACAGGGCTCCATTTTTAGTTTGTTGGAGTGAAGTGCTGCAGAACTCAGGGTTTGTGAGACTATGACAGAGATAAAAATTAACAAATATCTGAGTCTGAACAAGAAATACCATCTCTCATCTTAAATACACATTTAATCCTGACCCTGGCAGAATATAAAAAAAAGAAGCAAATAATCCACAAAGGATTTTACACTGCTTTGAAGAAAGAAAAAAAAAAAAAAAAAAGAAAAAAAAAGAGAGAGAGGAGACAAAGAAGATGGAAATCAGAGGGTTTGGATTTCTCCTCTCTTCAGGGAAATTCCAAACTGTGGGAGGGACACTCAGGACATTTGCTGGCAGGAAGGGACCACAGGGGCCACCCTGACACCCCAACACCCCCCCCCCCCCCGTTGGAATTTGTGGTATTGATGATTTTGAGATTGTAGAAAGTTTTTGGGTTTTTGCTTTGTTGTTAAAGAAGAAGTTATAATTTGTTCGTGTTGGTTTTTAAGGTTGTTTATTTTTTGTTTATCTATAACATGTTCTGCTGCCCTGCCATAGGTTTGGTTTGCAGGGCAGCGTGTGGGGCTTTGCTCTTTAGTGGGATGTTATAAACATTATATGCTAGAAACTATGTGTGTTGTATTTATAATAATGTGTTAATATCTATCATTTACATTGAATACTGTGTTTTTAGTTTAAACGAATAGAAAAATGTTAATACTATAGTGAAATATGGAGGGCATGAAGAAGGAGAAAAATGAGAAGATATATTTAATTTTTAATTTTTTTTTTCTTTTGGATCTTGAATTTAGAATCCTAAAATTTTACTTTTGCACCTGTGCCACACTTAATTATTACTTATATCAAACACTCAAAGCTGGTAATTCACTTTGTAAGATTGAAAACTCTTTTCCATGGCCAGAGATCACAGCCAGTGTCTCTGGGGGCTCTGTCCAGGGGGGTTCCTGATCCCTGCCAGGGTCCCAGGGCAGCCAGAGGGAATTCCTGGATCACCCTGGGTCATCCTCTGGGGGAAGAAGCTGTCCCTAAAACCCATCCTAACCCCCCTGGCACATCCCTGCACCCCAGGGCTGTTCTGCCCTCGGCAGTGTGGGCATTACCTGGTCCTGGCCCAGCTTGACCTTCTTCTTCCTCATCACCTTGGCCAGCTCCTGGGACCTCTCTGCCCCCACGGCGCTGGCAGCTGCACAGGTGAAGCCCTGGAGCACAGACTGGGAGAGCCTGGCAATTCCCAGCAGGAAAATCAGAAGGGAAAAACCTTCAGCAAGGTGCAGTCAGAGCTGACCCCAGTGCTTCTTCAATATAGAAATCTCTATTTTCATAATTTTCATCTCAAATACATCAAAAGACACATCAACCCCACAAAATTAATCCCTAGAATTGCCCTCTGGAAGGTTTGGAAATGCATTCCCTTCTTGGAAATTCCTTCCAGAGGCAATCTGGAGCAAGGTTCCCGGTGCAGCCTGAGGCAGCAGCATCACTTCAGGCAGAAAATGTGGTCCCAGGGTGTGTTTGGCAGCTGAGCCCTGGTAAATCTCCATGTTCCACGGCTGTGTTTGGGTTCCCATCCCATTTCCCATCTGCTCCCGTGGATTCCAGGGGGTGGATGTGGCTGCACCACGGGAAAGGTGGGAATTGCCAGGAAAACAAACAGAAAATGGGAAAATCTTTACCTGCTGAAGTCAGGCTCTGCCTTCACCACATCACTGAAAAACATTGCAGCCTGGGAAGCAGAGGCAGAGGTTTTCCAGGGAAAAGGGTTCAATTTCCAGGGGGATTTGTGGAATTCACAACCCCACAGAGGGCAGGGCTGCCAGGGAGGGGAAGGAGGAGCTCACCACCCCTTACCTGCTCTCTGCTCCATGGTTTGTTGTTGAGATCCTGCACATTTGGCTTCTCTTCCTCAAAAACAAGCAGGGATTTTGGGATGTAGCTGGCCAGAGCATTGGGAATGAGTTTCACCAGCTCAGCGGGGTGGCCAACCCTGGAGGAAACCTTGAAAAAAGCCAACAGAACAAACCATGGCAAATCTCACCCAGTTTTAAATGGCAAATCTCACCCAGTTTTAGTCCAAACCATGGCAAATCTCACCCAGTTTTATGTGGCAAATCTCACCCAGTTTTAGTCCAAACCATGGCAAATCTCACCCAGTTTTACATGGCAAATTTCACCCAGTTTTATGTGGCAAATCTCACCCAGTTTTAGTCCAAATCATGGCAGTATCAGAACCAGAGAATTGCTTAGGTTGGAAAAGATCTCCAGCATCATACCCAACCTTGAATTAATTCTGCTCCATTTATATTATTTCCCTGGGAACATCCACTGGGAAGCAGCTTCTGGAAGCACCCCATAAAACAAATCCCTCCTGCCCTTGTCCCCAGGAGGCTGAGCAGGCCAAGGACAGGGACACAGAGCCAGGGACAGGATTTGGATGGCCTGTCCTGCTGCCACTCTGCCTGGCTGTGACAAATCCTGCAGGGAACGCTGGCAGGGCGTGCAGGGCTTTAGAATACAAAATTTAGACTATAAAACATGTATTTTTAGAATATAGTATATCTAGAATATAGTATTTTGGAATGTAGTATATCTAGAATGTCTTTTAGAATATAATAATATATATTGCATTTTAGGGTGGAGGCTGCTCCTTCTTCTTCGCCTTCTTCTGAATGGGTTTGGGTGGTTTTGTGGACTTTTTTAACCAATTACTCATTGTGGGACATGGGTGGTTGGCTATTGGGTTAAAAGTAAAAACAATTTAGGTGTCATTTCTTAATTTGCCTCAGGTAAGCCGTGCTGCCAGGCCTGCTCCTGTGTGAGGAGATAAACCAAGGTCACCTTTTCCACCAGGATCCTTTTCAGGGCAGAGGGCAGAGTGTCCAGGTGCTGGGCAAAGCCTGGCAGCTGGATGGCCTCCAGGACAACTTCTGGGGACAAACTCCGGAGCGTGCTGCTGTCGAGGCCACCCACCAAAGTGCCCAGCTCTGCCAGGCTCTGTCCATCCAGGATCTGCAAGGGAATCCCAGAGAAAATCAGCTTGGAAAAGACCTTTGAGATCCTCGAGTCCCAGCTGTGCCCAAAGCCACCTTGTCCCCAGCCCAGAGCTCTGAGTGCTCATGCCTTCAGTTTGAGATTTTATATTTTCCAGATTCTGCACTGCATTGATTTATATCTTTGAACTTCATTTGAAGAGTCAGCAAGTTCTCCTCACAGCTCAGTCACACAGAAAAATCTTTTTTTTTGTCAGATTAAGCCCTTTTCTAACCCAGAAATGGGGTAACTGAGAGGGATTTTAAAAACTTTAATTCCATTTTCAGTCTGCTCTGAAGGGTGTGACCATACAAATGTTCTAATTGACGCCATCACAATTGGAAGCCAACTATTTCTTAATTATATTATAAGCTTTTCTTGGCCTATCAGCTTTTGCTACACCATGCTGTAAATGCCTTAAAGTTAATCTAAAATTCCCTCTCGTGGCTCCTACTCCAATGCATCTTTCATAGCTCTGTTTCCCTAAAGTATCCACTCTTATTTGCAAGGCCATCCTTTGAAACTTGTTTCTAGTTCCATTTCTCTCTCAACAATGCATGTTTCTCTAGAAATTCATATTTCTCTACAAATATTTCCCTACAAATTAATTTCCTGCATTTTTCCAGCCCCAGAACCAGCCCAGGCACACAGAACAATCCTTTTCCAGCCCAGAACCAGCTCAGGCACACAGAACAATCCTTTTCCAGCCCAGAACCAGCTCAGCACACTGAACAATCCTTTTCCAGCCCAGAACCAGCTCAGCACACAGAACAATCCTTTTCCAGCCCCAGAACCAAGGACACCACTGCAGCTCCAGCCCCAAAAAGTGCAACCAGCAGGAATGGAGGAGAGCAACCTGGGAGGGTGGGACTGGAACTGGACAATGAACCCCAACATGGAAATGGACCAAAACTTGTAAAAGTGTGCAAACTCCTGAGCCAGGGTCCATCTTGGGTGGAGCTTTGGCCAGGCTCTTGCACTGCCCAAGGTGCATCCTTTGAAGGCTTTTTAATAAATCCCTGCTTTATTCTTTAACCCTGCCCAGCCTCTGCTCCAGGCACCACTGCCACCTCCAGACATTCCTTGGACACCTCCAGGGATGGGGACCCCAAACCTCCTCCCTGGGCACTTGCAGAGCCTGGAACCCTTCCCAGGAGGAGGAGGAGGGGGCTTTAGGAGCCCCCGAGGAGCTCTGTACCTGGTAGCCAGAGCGGAGCAGTTTGCTGACCACAGCCCTGGCCTGCTCAGGGCTCCAGCCACGGACGCTGCCCAGGGCAGGCAGAGCTGCCTCCAGCTGCTCCTCAGGGATGTTCTCCTGGATCCAGGACACCGAGAGCCCCAGGGCAGCCTGGCCCAGGGCTCCCAGCACTGCCGGCGAAAAATCCTCCAAATTCCTCAGCAGGGAGGACGCCACCTGCAAAACAGACAGCAGAGTCAGAGGAGCGGTGTTGGATCCCACTGCTGTAAATCCCTGGATTTCTGCCTCAGGTTTGTCTGCTGGAGGCTGTGGGTTGTCGGAATCTGTGGTATTTAAATGATCCCAAAATTGTAGAAAGTCTCTGTTTTTCAGCCCTGCTGCCAAAGAAGAAGTTGTAATTTATCTGTGCTGGTTTCAAGGTTGTTTATTCTGTTTATCTCTAACATGTTCTGCTGCCCTGCCGCAGCTCTGTCCTGCAGGGCAGCGTGTGGGGCTCTGCCCTCAGGGGAATGCCACCCACAGGAGGGTGACAAGAGGGGACACCAGCCTGTGGTGGGCACAGAAGGGTGACAAGAGGGGACACCAAGCTGTACCCACCCCAGGAGGGTGACAAGAAGGTACACCAGCCTGTGCTCACCCCAGGACAGTGACAAGAGGGAACACCAGCCTGTGCCCACCCCAGGAGGGTGACAAGAAGGTACACCAGCCTGTGCTCACCCCAGGACAGTGACAAGAGGGAACACCAGCCTGTGCCCACCCCAGGAGGGTGACAAGAAGGTACACCAGCCTGTGCTCACCCCAGGACAGTGACAAGAGGGGACACCAGCCTGTGCCCACCCCAGGAGGGTGACAAGAAGGGACACCAACCTGTGGTGGGCACAGGAGGGTGACAAGAGGGGACACCAGCCTGTGGTGGGCACAGGAAGGTGACAAGAGGGTACACCAAGCTGTGCCCACCCCAGGAGGGTTTGGGGCAGTGAGAGGGTTCCAGGCTCACCTGCAGCTCCTGCGGTGCCAGGGAGGACGGAGCTCTCCCTGTGGGCATCCCCCTGCTCCAGGGGCAGCTCCTGCCCAGCCTCTGTGCCACTCCCAAAATCTCCTCCCTGCTGAGGTTCCCCACGGCCCCGGGGCTCAGGAAACAGAGGAACCTGTCCGGGAGGCTGTGAGGGGACAGAAGGAGAGGGGACCAGAGTTTCCCTCCTCTGCAGGGGATGCTCTTGTCCCCATCATGGCCTGGAACACCCTGGGAGCACCACAGGGAAATCCTGGGATCTGCCAGGAAAAAGAATTTGGGATCTGGCCCCTCCTCGAGAGCAAAGGCAGTGGGATTGTTTGAATATGGAACCTCTAAAAAGGGAAATGATAGAACGGTTCAAGAGGAAATTAATGGAACCTTTAAGGAAAAAATTAATGGAACCTTTAAAGAAAAAAATTAATGGAATATTTCAAGAGGAAATTAATAGAATCTTTAAGGAGGACATTAATAGAACCTTTAAAAGGAAAATCAATAGAACCTTTAAGGAGAAAATTAATAGAACCTTTAAGGAGAAAATTAATAGAACCTTTAAGGAAAAAAATTAATACAACTTTGAAAGAGAAAATTAGTGGAATCTTGAAAGAGAAAATTAATGGAACTTTTAAAGAGGAAATTATTGGAACCTTTAAAGAGGAAATTAATGGAACCTTTAAGGAAAAAATTAATGGAACCTTTGAGGAAAAAAATTAATGAAACCTTTAAAGAAATAATTAATGGAACCTTTAAGGAAAAAAATAATGGAACCTTTAAAGAGGAAATTAATAGAACATTTAAGGAGGAAATTAATAGAACATTTAAAGAGGAAATTAATAGAACCTTTAAGCAGGAAATTAATAGAACCTTTAAGGAGGAAATTAATAGAACCTTTAAGGAGGAAATTAATGGAACATTTAAAGCGAAAATTAATAGAAACTTTAGAGAAAAAAACATCAATGGAATATTTCAAGAGAAAATTAATGGAACCTTTAATGAGGAAATTAATAGAACCTTTAAGGAAAAATAATAGAACCTTTAAAGAAAAATAAGAGAACCTTTAAAGAAAAAATAATAGAACCTTTAAGGAGCAAATTACTGGAACCTTTAAGGAGCAAATGAATCAAAAGTGCCCCTCTAAGCCATCCCAGGAGATGAGATCCCCTCGGGTGTGTACCTGGCCAGGGGAAGGGCAGGGGCAGAGGTCAGGAGCCGGGTGTAGTACGGGGCAGTCTCCCTCAGCAGGGTCAGGTTCCCGACCATCTCCATGTTCACCGGGTCCCTGGCAAACTTTTGAAGCTTGAAGGTGAAAAAAAAGCAAAAGGGAAAATGAATCAGATGGATCCTTCAATCCTGACAGTTTGAGCCAACCTCAGCGTTTTTCACCCAGCTTTGAAGTCGTGCTGAGGTTTATATTTTTTTGTTTGTTTTCATGTAAACGCTGTGACCTGGATTAAATTTGGGGTTGCTCCTCTCACTGAGTCTGTTTTGCTCCCTGCAGAATTCCCTTTGTGAAAACAACTTCTGTGCACACACGAATGGGGGGAAATCCCTGCAGTGACTGTTCCCCTCAGCTTAACCAGAGAAATAAGTATTCCTGCTGGCAGGAATTCCAAGGCCAGGATGGACAGGGCTTGGAGCACCCTGGGACAGGGGCTGGAATGGGATGGGTGACCCTAAAATCCTTCCAACCCCACCATCCTGGAGTTCTGATTTTGCTCAGGGCAGGACTGTCACCTCCCAGGGTCCCCACTTGTCAGAATCTGTGGTATTTAAATTATCCCAAAATTGTAGAAAGTCTCTGTTTTTCTGCCCCGCTGCCAAAGCAGAAGCCATAATTGGTCTGTGCTGGTTCAAGGCTGTTTATTCTGTTTATCTCTACCATGTTCTGCTGCCCTGCCGCAGCTCTGTCCTGCAGGGCAGCGTGTGGGGCTCTGCCCTCAGTGGGATGGTACAAACATTAAATACCACAAACTACCTGTGCTGGATTTACAATAACGTGCCAATATCTGTCACCTACGTTGGACAGTGTGTCCCCAGCCTGAACCAACAGAAAAATGCCAACACCACAGTGAAACATGGAGGGCATGAAGAAGGAGAAAAAGGACAAGGCACACCCAATTCCTCCATCTTGTCCCCTTTGGACCCCTCATCTAGAATCCTAAAATTTTACTTTTGCACCCGTGCCACACTTAATTATTACTTATATCAAACACTCAGAGCTTGTAATTCACCCTGTAAGATTGAAAACTCTTTTCCATGGACAGAGATCACAGCCAGTGTCTCTGGGGGTCTGTCCAGGGGGGTTCCTGACCCCAGCCAGGGTCCCAGACCAGAACTCCCACACCCACTTACTGTTGCTTCATCCCCAAAAAGCTGCAGGTCCTGCACGGTGGCGTGCTCCAGGAAGGATCCCAGGTAATTCCGGAACCAGGAGGTGGAATTGAGGCTGGGAATGGTCTCGTTGTAGCAGCTCTGCCCAGATCCTGCAGTCAGAGAGAAAAGCAGGAGCACAGAGCCCATGGAAGTCCAGGAATCTCTGGGAACTGGCGGTTGCTGAGGGTGGAAGAGGCTGCAGCACATCAGAGCTCCCTGCTCACTCCTCACACTCAAATCCAGCCTCCACACCCCAAATTCCCACGGGACAGGGCAGAAAGAATCCCAGCCCTGCAAATATTCCATGCCCAGCCTCTTTCCTCCTCCCTCCAAATGCACCAGGAGCTTTCTGCAGGACATTCCTGGAAGCTCCTGCTTTTCTGAGCTGGGTTCTTCACTCTCAGAACCAAACCCTGCACAGGCAGGAAAAGCAGAATTTATAAAAATCTTGAGTTAATGAAGCCTTCAGGCAGGGAAATGACTCCCAAATCCACTAATTACTGACATTCCCATCCTGTTTCCACTGGAGATTCCCCGTGGGAAGCCTCAGCCCAGGGAAATCAGGCCCTTTACCATCCTGGGTGAGGAAATACTTGATCCCAGAGTAGAGATTCCTCTGCTCCTCCACGGAGAGCTGGGGATAGATTCCATCCAGGGCAGCCACTCTGCAAAAGGAAAGGAAAACACCTCAAACATTGCTGGGCTCTCACAGAAAACACTGATATTCCCAATCCCACCCTTTTCTGTGGGATTAAGCCCTTTTCTGACCCAGAGATGGGACAATGGAGAGGTGTTTTAAAATTTTTTGTTCCATTTTCAGTCAATACAGACATTATCATCCACACCATCACGATCAGAAGTCACTGCACCCTAATTTCCAAACTGTAAAAAAGCCAGTGGATTGTAATTTCCCAATCCCAATACACTATAAGCATTTCTTGGCCTAGCTATCATATTCCTAAACCAACATTTCTTATCTTAAAATCGATATATAAGCACACACTATATAAAGCTCTTCTCAAACCTTAAAGATTTTCTACAGATCCATACCCCACCCTTTTCCAAAGAGGTTTTTTCCCCCCACAGAGGGGACATTCCCCACTCACAGCAGCTGGAATTCCTCACAGGACACATCCTTGGCACGGAGGCAGCCAAAAACCTCGGGCTGCACCAGGAATGGCTCCAGCCCCTCGTGGAGCCACTGGAACAGCACTGGGGGGGTCTCAATTCCAGGCACTTGGAGCATCCTCTCCCACAGCCCATTGATAAAAACCAGGCTCCACTCCAGGGAAAGAGGCACCTGGGAGAACTGGGGATAAGGGATGGGGAAAAAAAACCTGAATTCCAGGGAATTCTGACCAGAAATCGACACAAATCCAAGCAAATCTGAATGCTGGGAATGGAATCTGTTGTTTTGAACGGGGCTCTTTCCAAAAGAAAGTAAAAAATTATCAGGGGATTTGAAATAAAGCCTTTTCCTGGAGAGTAAACAGAGCAAAAATTCCCTGGATTTGAGGGAATTCTGTTTGAGGGAGGACTCACCTGCTGGCTGAACACAGCCAGGGAGGCCAAAAGCTTCCTGGCATCATATTTGGAAAAGAACAGGATGGAATATTCTGGATCCAGAGCTGTGCTAGGTTTAGAGGCCAGGCAGGAATAGAAGGATGCGAGGAAATCATCCTGAAGCTCCTGGAACCAAGCTCCCTGGAAAAGAGAGGGAAATGCAAATAAAGATAATATTTTGAGGGGAAATCACCCTCATGGGGCTCATCCACACTTGGGAATTTGGAGAGGGATTCCTCCCTTGAGGGGGATAAAACAGTGGCACAGGTTTAAAAAGCTTTATCAAAAAAAGAAAAAAAAAACCAAAAAAACAAAAACATGCAAAATTGCCAAAACTTTGCCCAAATTTCTGAAAAATTTCATCTAACTAGAAACTTCCATGGGGAACTCTTTAATCCCCAAATGTTTTTTTTCAGGGAAATGGCTTACAAACAGTAGAAGACAAATAAAAAATCAATAAAAAAACAAACACCAAAATATTCCAAACCCGCCCCCCCCCCCAAAACAAAAAACATTGACAAATATTTGCAGAAGTGCCATCTTTCTGTCAGAAATATTTACCAAAAAAACCACAAATTGACGTCAGCTTAATTGCAATTACTGGCAGCAGCTTAATAGATGATGACAAAAGCAGGGAAGAGAGTAAACCTGGAATAATCCAGGTGGCATTTTCCATGCTGCAAGCACTTCTGATTGTGCTTTTACCTTTTTGAATTGTGTTTTTACCACTCCTAGTTGTGCTTTTGCCCTTTTTCTTGTGCTTTTACCCCTTTTAATTGTGGTTTTACCCCTTTTAATTGTGCACACACAATAAAAGGGGTAAAACCTTCTAATTGTGCTTTTACCCTTTTGTATTGTGCTTTTGCCCCTTTTAATTGTGTTTTTACCCTTTCCAATTGTGCTTTTACCCTTTTGTATTGTGTTTTTACTTTTTGTATTGTGCTTTTACCCCTTTTAATTGTTTTTACCCCTTCCAATTGTGCTTTTAACCTTTTGTATTTGCTTTTACCTTTTTGTATTGTGCTTTTGCCCCTTTTAATTGTGTTTTTACCCTTTCCAATTGTGCTTTTACCCTTTTGTATTGTGTTTTTACCCCTTTTAATTGTGTTTTTACCTCTTCCAATTGTGCTTTTACCCTTTTGTATTGTGCTTTTACTTTTTGTATTGTGCTTTTGCCCCTTTTAATTGTGCTTTTACCCCTTCCAATTGTGCTTTTACCCTTTTGTATTGTGCTTTTACCCCTTCTATAGTGCTTTTTCCCAACAGCCCTGGGTGACTCTCCCGCAGAGATTCATTCCAACGCTGTGATGCCAATTTTTAAGAGTCAATTTAATTTGGAAAGTGCCTTTCCCCCAACTTCCTTCTCACTCCAGGGGTTTGGAGAAGGAAATCCCCACTTCCCAAAGGTCTCCCAGGGGGTTTGGGCACTGCTCAAACTCAGGCTTGGGGGGATGAAATCCTGGCAAAGCTTTGGCTGCTCCCCCAGAGCAGCAGCAGGGCTGGTTTTAAGTGCCAGAATTCCCCAGGAAAACCAATCCCAGGGGAATTTGGGAAGCAGGGATTGATGGTTCTCACCTGGGCACAGGCGAGCTGGCCAAAGCTGAGGCTGCACGGGGACCTTCGGCCTCGGGCCACCGCCAGGAGCTGCTCCCGGCTGGCACTGGGGGGACAAGGAGAGCACTGGGAGAGAGGGACTGGGACAGGATGGGATGGGAATGGGGAAACTGGGAGAGGATGGGATGGGAATGGGGGAAATTGGGAGAGGATGGGATGGGAATGGGGGAAACTGGGACAGAATGGGATGGGATTGGGGAAACTGGGAGAGGATGGGATGGGAATGGGGGAAACTGGGAGAGGATGGGCTGGGAATGGAAAAACTGGGAGAGGATGGGCTGGGAACTGGGGGAAATTGGGACAGGATGGGATGGGAATGGGGGAAATTGGGAGAGGATGGGCTGGGAATGGGGAAACTGGGAGAGGATGGGCTGGGAACTGGGGGAAACTGGATGGGAACTGGGAGACAATAGGATGGGAGAAACTGGATGGGGAACTGGGAGAAGATGGGATGGGAATGGGGAAACTGAGACAGGATGAGCTGGGAATGGTGTAATCCCACAGAAATGAGATTACCCCACATCCTGCTGGGCCGTGGTAACAAACATTCACTTTCTAACTTTAAGCTGTTAGAGAGTTTTTGTCCGTCTCAGCTGGATATCGATGTTAGGTTATTATATAAAAGAGGATATTCCAATTTTAGTAAATGAAGGGCACGAAGGGACAGCAGGGCCAGGGCAGGGGCGCAGCGCTGAGCCCCAGGTACAAGTTGGGGTGAGTGAGGTCTGGAGTGGAGCTGCTTGAGCCCAGCCTGGAGCCAAGAAAAGCTCAGCACCGCTGCCAAGGGCTCTTGGCTGCCTCCCTAGGGCCTGGCCCTGCCTTTCTTTGTCCTGCCCAAACACAAAAACCCCAGCAGGGAACTTTCCCTTCACTGTTTGAACAAGTGCAGCCAGAACCCTCCCTGCCCACAGGCAGCCCCGGGGAAAAGTCCCAAAATCCGGGCTCAGAGGGATTTTGTCACCCCAAGAAAGCAGCATCCCTCTCCCAAGGAAATGCCAAAATCAGTGGGGAGGGCTCACCTACCTCTGCACTGAGGCACAGACGGCAGATTCTGACCCCCAGAACAAAAAAAGAGACAAAGATAAGGAGTTGTGGGAGGATTTGGCACACAGAGCCCTCTCCGAGTTTCCCTGGAGGATATTTGGAAAGGAACTCACCATTGACAGGGGAGCTGGAGCACTGCAGCAGGAGAAGAGAAAAGAGATGGAGTTAAAATGCAGCTCCAGCATTATTTGTGCTCTCTGCAGAGCAACTGGTGGGAGTCCTCTGGGTTGGGATGGGACCTGAGCACACCCAGACCCCAAATCCTGAGCACACCGAAACCCCAAATCCTGAGCACACCGAAACCCCAAATCCTGAGCACACCCAAACCCCAAATCCTGAGCAGACCCAAACCCCAAATCCTGAGCACACCCAAACCCCAAATCCTGAGCACACTGAAACCCCAGATCCTGAGCACACCAAACCCCAAACCCTGAGCACACTGAAACCCCAAATCCTGAGCACACCCAAACCCCAAATCCTGAGCAGACCCAAACCCCAAATCCTGAGCAGACCCAAACCCCAAACTCTGAGCACAACCAAACCCCAAACCCTGAGCACACCCAAACCCCAAATCCTGAGAACACCCAAACCCCAGATCCTGAGCACACCCAAACCCCAACCCCAAAGCTCCAGGACACGTTCCTGGCTCTGTGCTCAGTCATTTGGGAAGTTCCAGCTCATCCCACCCCACAGGCACCAGGAGGGAAAATTCTGGTGCTTTGAGGTGGTTCCCGAAAAAGGGGGGCTGGAAGTGGCTGATCTTTAGGGACCCCCAACCCAAACCTCCTGGAAGGTTTTTACCACGGGAATTGGGATTTTGGGCTGAATTGGCCTCACCAGCTGGGGCCCAGCAGCAGCAGCGGCTCCCGGGCAGCCTGCAGGAAAAGGAGATTGCGGAGATTGCAGGGATTGCAGGGATTGCAGGGATTGCAGGGATTGTAGAGATTGCAGAGACTGCAGATTGCAGGGATTGCAGACAATACGAATATTGAAATGTATCTGTTAGAGAATATATCATATTAATATGTAACATAACACAATATATAGAATATATTATCTGTTATTAATTCTCTATATACTATCTATATATAGATAATACAATAATATATAGATATATAATAATATATTATATATTATTATATAGATTATATATATAGATTATATATAGATCATATATAGATTATATATATTATATATGTTTTATATATAATATATGTTATATATATATTATATATAACATATATGTATTCTAAATATTATATAATATATATCATATATATTATACATTTTATATATAATATATATTATATAATATATATTATATTATATATTATTATATGATATATGATATATTATTATATTAAATTATATATTATAATATATAATATATTATTATATATTATATATATTATTATATATAATATATTGCTATATATATTATAATATATATGGAAATTATAGTATTATATAGATATTATAATTATCTCTATATTATCTATTATTAATATAACATATCAAGACATTAATATATTGTATAATATAATCTATATTATATATAATATATATGCTAATAATAACATATAATAACATAATAAGATCATACAATACATTATTAATATAATATATAATAGTATATGTTATATATTAATACATTATTACATCATATTATATGGTATTATGTAGTATATATTATATATTAATGTTTTATTATATACTAATATATATAATCTAATAATATATAAAACATATTATTATATAATAATATATATTGTGTAATAATATATAATTATCGATTATTATATGTTAATATATTATATTAATAGGTAGAAGCTATTTTATAATTACATTATAAGTGTTTCTTATCCCATCAGCTTTTGCTACCCTAGGCTGTATATACTTTAAAGCGAATTATTTAAAATTAAAGCTAATTATTTAAAATTACACTTTGTGAGTCTTACAACAATGTATCTTTCACGGTTCTATTTCTATTCTTTCTATTAGTTCCATTTCTCTAAAATCTTATTTGTGAGATCCTCTTTTAACACTTTTTTCTGTTTCCATTTCTCTCAAATCTTATTTGTGAGATCCTCTTTTAACGCTTGTTTTTAGTTCCATTTCTCTAAAATCTTATTTGTGAGACCATCTTTCAAAACTTGTTTCTAGTTCCACTTCTCTCTCAACATCTGCCCTATGCTGTGGCATTTTTAAGCCAACATTTCTTATCTTAAATATTCCCCACAAATACACCCTGTAGAAACCTTCCATCAAGCTTTAAAAAATTCTCTATAAATCCATTTCCCGCGGGTTTTGACCCAGGATTTCAGCCCCTCCCTCCTGCTTCCCTGAATTTTGGGAGCCTCAGGTGAATGCAGCGTTTTCTTGGGGGTCCGAGTCTGCCAGCACAGAAAATCTGAAATTCTCAGCAGCACTTTGCATATTTGAGAGACAGAGTTTCCCACACATTACATTAAAATGTATATTTTTATTTACACTTTATGTGTGTAAATGGAATAGTATTTCTGTGTAAATAGAGAGAATTGATTCATTGATCTTTAGTAGTGGAGAGGTGGAAATTCCATCCTGCAATACACAGTTACCTTTGGAATTCTATAAATACCGGATGTTTAAATAAAATAAAATTGTGGGTTTTTTTATTTTTTGAATGTGCCAAACTTCTGTGCACTCATTTGGTGTTCAATACCACCTCCCCACCCTAAAAACTGCAATATTTCACTGGCAGACCCAGCAACAAAGAGGACAAGGAAAGGCTGGGGGTCCGGAGCAGCACCAAAATCCTGTTTTGTGCCCTGGCAGAACAATTTCCCCTCCCGAGGGGGTCCCAGGGGTGGCAAACTCCCCTGGCACAGCAGAACTCACCCAGCAGCAGCAGCAGGAGCCCCAGCCCTGGCAGCGCGGGAGGCATTTCTGCACCTCAGCTCAGCCAGGAAGAAAGAAATACAGAAATAAATACCGAAATAAATACAGAAATAAATACAGAAATAAATACATAACTACATAACTACATAAATACATAAATTAAATAAATACATAAATACCTAAATACCTAAATACATTATTAAATAAATACCTAAATAATAAATAAATACATAAATCGGGACATTTCTGCACGGGTCTTTAGGAACCACCTCACTTCAGCCAGAAATAAATAAATAAAAATAAATAAATACATAAATAAATACACAAATAAATAAATCAAGATAGTTCTGCACAGCTCTTCAGGAACCACCTCAGGAGGTGGCAGAGGGACAGGAGGTGACCCAGGGACAGGAGGTGCAGAGGTGACCCAGGTGGGTGGCAGAGGACAGAAGGTGGCAGAGGACAGGAGGTGGCAAAGGACAGAAGGTGGCAGAGGACAGGAGGTGGCAGAGGACAGGAGGTGGCAGAGGACAGGAGGTGGCAGAGGACAGGAGGTGGCAGAGGACAGGAGGTGACCCAGGGACAGGAGGTGGCCCTGGTCCCCCGGAGGGGACCCTGTGCCACTCACCTGTGCCCGGCGGGTCCCTGTGCCAGCCTGGGGCACCGCGGGCTCCTTTTGGGGACCCTGTGCCACTCACCTGTGCCCGGCGGGTCCCTGTGCCAGCCTGGGGCACCGCGGGCTCCTTTTGCCGGCGGGTCCGGGGCGGGTCCGGGCACTCCCCGGGCACTCCCCGGGCACTCCCCGGGCACTCCCCGGGCACTCCCGGCCCGGAGCCCCGCGGGGTGCGGGACGAGCCCGGGGAGGCTCTTGGGCAATGCCCGACTCGGTTCGTCCCCTCCTGCCCCCCTGGCACCGAACCAGCGCCGGGCGAGCTGCGGGTCCGGGCACCGCGGATGCCGGGCTCGGGAGGGGTTTGGGGGCACCTGGAATAAAAAATCCCTTTTAGGTCAACTCACAACACACCAGCCCTGCAGGGCTCTGGGAGAGGGATTTTGGGGTTCTCACCTGGAATAAAAATTCCTTTTGGGGTGGGACAGCCCCAAACTGAGCGGGACACCCCAAATTGGGTGGGACATCCCAAACTGGGTGGGACACCCCAAATTGGGTGGGACATCCCATACTGGGTGGGACACCCCAAACTGAGCGGGACACCCCAAACCGCGTGGGACACCCCAAACCGGGCGGGACACCCCAAACTGAGCGGGACACACCAAACTGGGTGGGACAGCCCAAAACTGAGCGGGACACCCCAAACTGGGTAGGACACCCCAAACTGGTTGGGACCCCCAAACCGGGTGGCGCACCCCAAAACGAGCCCGAGCTCCCCGGGGGTGCCCGGCTGGCCCAGGCGGTGCCCGGCTCAGCCGGCTGTGACAGGGACAATCGCTCCCCGCGGTGGCACCGCCACGCCCGCAGTGGCACAAAGGGGCTTTGTGCTGCCCCGGCCCCGCTCGGGCTGGGAAACTGCCCCGGCTTTGCGTTTGTTAAAAGTAGAATAAAAGAGATAAAATCCAGTAAATTGCCAAAAGCGCAGCAAGAGCTGTAAGAAATTTCCTTATATGCTTTTTCGTTGCATTGTTTAAATGCATATTTAGAGATATTATATATGTTTTAAATATATTTATAGTATATAAATGTATGCTATTATACTATACAAATATATATTATTCATAGATTATTTCTATAGTATTTATAATGTAGATAATATTAATGTATTATTTATAAATATATAATAGATATTATATTAAATTTATATTAACTATATTATAATATTTTATAAATATATAATAATTATAAAATAGTTATATCAAACTATATAGATATATACTATAGTTATATCAACTATATAACTATATAAGTCTATATAATTATATAAAACTATAAAGATAATATTGTTCTATTATCTATATTATATATATTTATATATTATTTCTAAACATATACTATATTATATATAATATTTATATAAAATATATATTCTTTTAATATATAAATATATATTATTTTTATATTATTTTAAAATATATAATATTCATTATATATAGTATTTCTATTAAAAATATTATTATAATATATCAATATATAATCATTTACAGTATATTTATATATATTATATATAAATATATATTGTTTATATTATATAATAATATATATTATAATAATATATTATATATTATTATAATATTAACATAATAGATATTATTTCTATTATATAGCTAAATATTGGAGGGGGTTTTTTTTAATATGTCCTAGCAATTCTTTAGCTTTGTTTCACCTCTAACTCATGGTGTAAATTTGATTTTTGTAGATTTTCGTGTAGATTTTGAGGAGCTGTGGGTGCCATTTCTTCACAACGTGGACGCTGCTTTCCCACAACAATTTGCTGTTTGTCCTGGGAGCTCCCTGCATTTCGGATTCCAGCACCTCACCCTGGGTTTTCCTCCTGAAAATCTGTTTTTTTTCTCCTGGGAGGGACAGAGCTCCTGATCCACGTAAAAATAATTTTCTACCAAAGCCATTAACAGAGAAACCAAGAAATAAAGAAGTGGAATGAGCAAAACCTGCAGCTGCCAGTTCCAATAATCACTTTGTTTGTCTTGTGACCAATGAGTCAAGTGTAAACTTAATAAAAATGGATAAAAAGCCTGCATGGTGGAATAAAACCGATTTTAATATTTCTGGAAATGGAGTTTGTTCCTTTGGATCATCTCTGTCTCAGCTCCTGCAGCCTCTCCCTGCCAGTCCCAGTCCCAGTCCCAGTCCCAGTCCCAGTCCCAAACTGGGATTGGAGCTGCGGGAGGATGTGAAGGTCCCCCAGCCCCGGGGGTTTGGGAGCCCCAAATTGCCCAATTTGGAGCCGTTCGGTGTCAGGAACCAGAGACACGTTGGACTTTTTCAGTCTTCAGCTTCTGTTTATTGTTACCTTCTCAAAACTTCAGCACCAGACTCTCAGCAGGAAAAACAGCACCAAAAAATGGCTAAAAATCTCCTGTTCCAAGGCCTTTTAAAACTAATCAAAAACTAAGCTACCCAATTAAGAAGTGACACCTCAATTATTTCCCTTTCTAACCCAATAACTGACCCCTAAAGATCCACAATGAGGATTTTTCTGCCCAATTACAAAATACCACCTAAACCCAAGAAGAAAGAGGAAGAAGAAAGAAGGGAACACAAAACAACACCCCGTATCCTCCATCTTCAACCCATCTATATGATCCTAAAAATCCTAAACCCAAAATTTCTCACCCTATATCCTCCATCTTCAACCCATCTATAAGATCCTAAAACCCAAATTTCTCACCCTATATCCTCCATCTTCAACCCATCTATATGATTCTAAAAATCCTAAAACCGAAATTTCTCACCCTGTATCCTCCATCTTGAACCCATCTGTAACATCCCAAAAATCCTAAACCAGAAATTTCTCACCCTGTATCCTCCATCTTTAACCCATCTATATGATCCTAAAAATCCTAAAAACGAAATTTCTCACCCTACATCCTCCATCTTGAACCCATCTGTAACATCCCAAAAATCCTAAACCAGAAATTTCTCACCCTACATCCTCCATCTTGAACCCATCTATAATGTCCCAAAAATCCTAAAACCGAATTTACTCACCCTATATCCTCCATCTTGAACCCATCTATAACATCCTAAAACCGAAATTTCTCACCTATGTGACACAGTACATTACACGACTCTCTACAATCTATTTCACATTTTTTGTGGTTTCTGGTTCACCTTGAGACTTTGGAATTTTTCTCCATAAATGAGGGTAAAATTCAGTGTTTTTCTGGGAGTCAGAGCACCCCGGAGCAGACAGGGAAATATTCCCGGTGCGCTGAGTTCCCACACAGCCCAACCTGGTTAAATGTCACTGCAGGGAGACTCCTGCAAAAAGGACAATATTTGATTTGCTTCACCGAGGAGTTTGTGTCACTCTGTTTGCTCAGGGCTGCAGCTGCGGAATTCGGGAACAAAAATGAATTTTGGCTCCCGGGTGGTGCCCAGCCCACGCCCAGAAAATGCCAGAGGGGTCAGGGACGGAGGGTTTGGGTTTCATGTCCTGCACGTCACCGTGAGGGACAGGCCAGCAGGAAACGGCCTCCAGAGGCACCGGGGCAAGTTTAATTTGGGGATTAATGAAGAATTTCCTCGGCCAGAGTGGGGAACGGCCCTGGCACAGCTCAGGGAGCCACAGCCCTGCAGGGACGCCAAAGCTGGCCTTGGGCACGGGTTTTAGGGGTGGCATTAGGGACAGACAGGTTTTAGGGGTGGCCTTGGGGACAGACAGGCTTTAGGGGTGGCCTTAGAGACAGACAGGTTTTGGGGTGGCCCTGGGGACAGACAGGTTTTAGGACAGGCTTTAGGGACAGACAGGTTTTAGGGGTGGCCTTGGGGACAGACAGGTTTTAGGGGTGGCCTTGGGGACAGGTTTTAGGACAGGTTTTAGGGGTGGCCCTGGGGACAGACAGGTTTTAGGGGTGGCCTTGGGCAGTTCTGGGGGAACGGTTGGGTTTTTAAATGTCTTTTTAAACCTCGGTGATTCTCTGAGGGGGATTTTCAGCAGCAAAGAAGGAGAGAGGGAAGCCAGGAGTGTCCGGGATCTTCTCCTACCACCAAACACCCCAAAACCCCTCTAAACTCAATCCTTATTTATCCCCCACTCTGGGAGCAGCAGAGCAATCCTACAAACACCCCCAAACCCCTCTAACCCCAGTCCTGATTTATCCCCCACTCTGGGAGCTGCAGAACAATCCCACAAACACCCCAAAACCCCAACCCTGAATTTATCCCCCACTCTGGGAGCTGCAGAACAATCCCACAAACACCCCAAAACCCCAGTCCTGATAGATGCCCTGGTCTAGGAGCAGCAGAGCAATCCTACAAACACACCAAAACCCCTCTAACCCCAGTCCTGATTTATCCCTGCTCTGGGAGCTGCAGAGGAATCCTATAAACACCCCAAAACCCCAGCTCTGATTTATTCCCTGCTCTGGGATCTGCAGAACAATCCTACAAACACCCCAACACCT